TAAAGAAATCAGTTTCTAGGGAGAATGAATGCTAACAATAGCTGGAATTAAGGCTTCTTTACCAAGAAGTGGGAGGATGTTGGCTGGTGTGATCATGTAAAAATGAACAGGCAGAATGAATTCACTTACACTCCTGAAATACAGAATCGATTGTCAGCTACTGTCCTTGGCAAACAACAGGTACCTTGAATGAAACTCTCTTGAGGGTGGGAAATATCTCACTACAGCTGTGAAATGAAGCTCATTTATGTTGTCCAACAGAAGTTGCAACAATATTTTATTGCAATGTTTATATATTCCATTTCTTGTTTTACTATGCTTTTCTGATTCATGTTTCTCACATTTCGTGTTCCGATGTGTTATGCAACTTCACTTTCCTTTCACCTCTGAGAACATACAGTTGAATGTGTAGTTGTTTCAGCTAGAGAGGTACATACCCGGTGAGCCTTCTCTAAACCATATCAGACAGGACAGAGAACAGGCGCTCCAGGTTGAAGGCAAAGCTACAGAGACCTATTACAATTCGGCCAAATACGATTCAAGTACAAGCAATATGCTTCAAACATACAAGTACAAATTTATATAGAAAAATACATGATATTTTATACAGTTCTGACAGCTATTCAGACTTCCCATTCCCTCTCCTGATTGGCTGAGAAGAAGGGCAGGCAAGGATCCATGCTGGGATTGGCCGAGGCTTCCCCTGACATCACAACCTGCAGGTGGAGAATCCTGTGGTGGCAGGAAAGACAGCTGGTAGCTGGTCAGCTTGAAGGAGCAATCCGTTGCTGGGAAGGTGGGACACTGGATGAAATGGTGATGTGGATATGCTTATGAGTTTTCTGTTAACTCGAGTGTCCAGTTCCATGTGAGACAAAGGATACCAGACCCAAAAGGTAAAAATGGCAGCTCCGGACAGTCAAAAGTTTGGATGCCCATTCAGAGAGTTAACAAATTAATGTTTACCAAGACCCATCTTCCATGGGAGCAGCATACTCTCAGCCTCAATGTGAATGAACATACATCCTGAGCTCATCCTAGTGACAAAGAGGATCATCTTTGTGTATAAACAAAGGTTTTGATATTTATCTGGCTTGGGAAATAGCTGGAGGGACTGTGGCCGCAATTTCCTTTCCCAAGGGATTATGCAAACTGAGGGCACAGAGAGGTAGCTATCTTCTAGATACATCTTGATACATTTTATACTTTTAGGAATTGACACAGTACATAAGTTACACATAAGCCAACAAGTTGAACATTTATTAAAGGGTTAAATCTGATAAAGTTTGTAGGGTAATGCTGCTGCTAGGTCAATTCCGGAGCCTCTAGCTACTTCAACATTTCGCAACTTTGAAGCCACAGAAAATGTTTTAAAAATAAAGAAAAAAAATCATATAGCTTGCTTGAAGTCTCTTCATTGTCTTTACTCTTTTGGGGAGGGGGTGTCATGGCTTGATAACCTATGTCCCCTTTGGGCTTGAGTCCTGTTGTGTCATTAATTACAGTGCTACTAATAATTGTCTTCTTTTATACTTTGGTAGTTTGTTGAGTGTCTTCCAAACTGAGAGTAATCTAACTCACTTCATTTTGGATTGTCTCACATGCTAAAACATATTCAAAGAAAATGTACTGTGCCTCCTGTGCAGTACAAACCCATGTTAGCTATGATACCACTGCCATTGTTTTAGAGATCTTCTATCATCTCCTACCACCCAGTATCTGTTTAGCAGTCCTTAGCAAAAGCCTGTCTGACATGAGAGGCTCTACCAGATGCACTGCTACCATCAGTCTAACCTCTTGCCTTACAGGAGCACACAACTCCATAATCATGGAACTGGAGTGGTATCATAATAGTACAATATTACAGCATACCACATGGAGGTATCATATTACAGCAATTAAACAGAATATGAAGGATGCAGTTGTAACTGCCTCATACTTTAATAATTGCATCAGAGCAAGGATTCTGTTAAAATTAAATACTACAAGAACTTTCTTTCAACAACAAAAAATGTCTTTGCTGTTACATATAAAATAGCAACTTTCACTTGCAGTCTTTGAAGTCTCAATAGATGTTCTCTTCAGTGATTATCCCGATCCACTCTCCCCCTCTAGTAGATGGGATTCAAACTATTGTTCAAAAGCAACTTATTTCAGATGCAACAAGAACATTGTGTTTTTGATTCAAGGCCCATGCCATTATCAGGATCCTTGTGCTTCAAAAATGATTGCAGCAACGAATAGTTGTTTTCTTCTGAATTAAGCAAACTAGGGCTTGATTCTATGTAATATGTGAAAGATTCATTGCTGCTTTCATGCCACTTTTTACTTATAGTAACCCTAAGGAGAATTCATCATACTTTTTTGGGTAAGATTTCTTCAGATGGGGTTTGCTCTTGCATTACTTGATAAGAGTGTCACTTACCCAATGTTGCCCAGCTAGTTTTTATGGCCGAGTGGGGACTTAAACCCTTTCTCTCAGAGTCCTAGTCCTATACTCAAACCACTACACCACATTGGCTCTTGAAACAGCCGTTAGCACAAATTAAATTCTGCCTTAGGCTGCAGAACTGAAAGAAAGCTCTAGCTTACACATCAGCCAGAGGAGCTACAGAGTTGGGCTGCTGAATTATGCATTTTGGGTGTCTTACATTATTATCTGTACATCTTTGAGAATTATTTCACTAAAAGATAGGTATAAATTTTCTAATGAATACATACATACCTTAAAATGTATACTCACCAAGTGTTATTCACTAATAGAGCGAATTCCAGATCTTTTCATACACACACAAACCTCTGATCTAGAACATACTAAGTATATTCTAGCCTATCTTCAGAGTAAGTATACATTACTTATATAATCTTTTAGTGTTCTTTTCAAAAATCAACATTTTATCTTAATGTGCTATGTAAGCAAATGGTGATCAACCCAGAGAACTGAAATATCAAAGTTTTGACTTATCCAGAAATTTACAGTTTGATATTAGCTATAGGAACATTGTAAAAAGTCTGCGCTTATTTTAAACAGAAATTATGCCAGAGCTCATAACACAAACCATTCAATTCCATTCATACTTCAATTAATAAAAAATACTAGAAAGTAATATTTTTATGTTTGAGCAATTTATTTCATATTTTTACAGCTTGCAGTTGGTCTTAAGGTAATAAGTTATGAGAGCCTTATATACAGAAACCTGTTCCCTAAACCCCAAAGAATCATGGACTAATTGGGAAAACCAAATGCTGTGCCACATAGGTGAGGAAATAAGACATTCCATTCAAATGGAAGCAAAGACTAAATGGAACTAAAGAATTCCCTGGTGTAGGTTTCAGGACTAGTTCTCTCTACATAAAAAGTAGAGGTTATTTAGCCCCAGCTGTGGAAGGGGGACAGATTAATCTAAGAAAAAAAATGTTTCTTTCCTTCTTTTTTTTTAGATCATGCCATAAGATTTTATTGTAGTGATATAGGTATTATATATATTGTATAGTTAAATATTATTTCTGGGAATCATAAATCTTTCCCAATTCATTCACTACTTCTTAGTACCGTATGTTGAAAGGCATTATTTGCTTCATTCTGAGTTTGTTTTAGAAGAAGACCAAGAATGAAAACGTTCTGTTGAGCGATATACAGCACACAGAAGATATATTTTAAAACTTCAACTTTACACATGCAACCCTCAAATATCATTTTGTTGTATCTGAGTGCAGAAGGAAACTGAAGGGAAGCTCCGATCACAAGTCCAGCCTGGACAGCTGAGAACATGCAAACTCTCTTAGCAAAGCTGCTCCTCCCATTTTCAGGATCTGTGAAGTAAGCCACTATTTCCGTAATCTGATGCTATCACTATCAGCACCATAAAATAGATATTTGTTGGCAGATGGGTGATTCAGACCCTAAAACTGGTATTCAATTGTGATTTCCTTCTTCAGTCATGATAAGGATACAGCAGCAGAGTTTTTGAAAGAAGATTAAAGCTAGATCTGTCAGTGTGACAAGATGGTAGTACAGATGGTACATTAGTTTAAGCCTACATCAGGGGTGGGCGTTCTGCAACTCATGAGTCGTTTTCAGCCCTCTCTCTGGTTTCAGACACTAAAGATTCAACTGCCATAATATTTCCTAGTTATTCTGCATGAAAACAATCCATATTGGGAATGTGCACTTGTTTTCCAGCAAAATCAAACTTCCAATAGACGGTTGGGAGTGTAATTCTGCTAGAAAACAATATTCATGTTCCTCACAGATTATATTTCCCAACAGGCTCACTGAGTCTTTTGCAGTAGTATAAATATCACTTAGTAGCAGCTCCTAACAGTAGCAATAATGTGTTATCCCCTATGAGTTCTGGGAAAGCCCTTCAATCCCAAGAAGTTGTACACCCTGCCATTTAATCAGAAAGTTAGTCTGTTGGGAAGATCACAGCATAATCATTTTAACTACTATTTACCGAGGATCAGTGGCACTACCAAAGATTGTGGCTTTAAAAACTTCCATCTTAAAGCTTTCATTCAGTTAGAAGTGTACTCTTCAGCTGTTAGTCTAAAAAGCTACTGTGAAAAATACACACCTGTTAAGCAGCACTCACAAATCTCAGCCAGCTTTCCATAGCTTCAACAATGGAAATAATTGAGAGTTGTTCTCTATTAGGCATTTTGATACTTGCTGAAGGAGTTATCAAATACTTGCAAGACTGCCTCACTCTATTGTGTAGGAAAGAATGTAAACATCTTTTCTCCCAAAGCCACAATCCTTTACATACATACTTGGGAGTAAGCCCCACTATACACAGTGGAAGTTGCTCCAAAAGAAATATGCACAGGATTGCCCTGAAAGTGTTTTCACTATTCACTGTTCAAATAAATATATTTATAAGGAAAAACAAAATAATACGTTAGTACCATTTGAATGTACAAGAGTAAGACACACAAGCTATACAGGATATTGGTGCCAGAGAATGACAGAGATATAAAATAAGACAAGGAAAACTGCCTCAACTTCAAGTCTTTCCTCTTTATACATTGGCCACATAAATACATCACAATACAGCTGAAGCCTAAAGAATCCTGGCTTATGGTGAATGAGTCGTGTCCTCTAACACTCCCGCTTGACTCCTCCAGCAACTGGGAGCAAATGAGCATACTGGGAGTCATATGTAGTTTATTCATCATAATGTACAAACTGTTTCTTCTCTAACACGCTAACAACAAACCGTGACTTATAACTTAGATCGACAAAGAGAGGCAAACTAGAATTCTTGATTCATACATAACACTGAAAGGTCACAATGTCTCTGGTTTGCTTATCATGGGAAGAAGTGGGCAGCAAACATGTGGCCTTTACATGGTAAGCAAGGTTCCCTTGGAACTTTGATCTATCATTTCGTCTGAACTGGCACATTACTTCCTCAGGAAAACTTTTCAGTCTCAAAACTAAGTTTTAATACATGTGAAATAGTTCATCAGCTTGAAATGTGAGTGCAACTTAAACTTCAAATTATTTAAGCGAATGGTTTCAATTTTTTATAATAATTTTTGTAAGAAATTACTCAGAAAATAATTTTCCTAAAATATCCTAAATATTTTGGTACCAATTTGAAAACTTAATTTGTCTAAATGGACTTTCCCCTTATGTATATGAACACACACTGTTCTGACCATCAAATTTCAGCCATTTTACACTAGTCAAATCATCACAAGAGATAAACAACAAAACAAAAGAAGTGCACTTATATATGTTATCTATCTCTTAAACAAAAGCTGACATTTGACATGTAGTGGTTTTTTTGCATTTCAGAAATTATGTTGCATTCAGAGCAAAAGCGAACCTTAGTTTTGCAGGAATTTTTTAAGTGTTCTGTATAAACAGTCTTTAAAATACACATCAGTGTAGCTGCACAATGTTTAGATCTGGAGAAGCATAGTCCATGGACCACACCCTGTAAATACATTTAAAATATATTAAATAAAACCTAACCTTTGGTAAAACACATCCAATCAAAGGCAGGAAAGAACAAATAGTTCTAAAATTGAAACCTTTTCCACAACACACAAGACTCACACATCTTGGATATCGTCCTCAACTGTATCTATTAAACACTTCCTTGAATATGTACAGGATTCCACATTGCCACCTTGGCAACAAATTTTTATGCAACATGCATGCGGTTAACGGCCTTTCAACAACAAACTGCAACCCCCTGAGGAATTTTCTGGACTGACAGAAAAAGGAAATGCTTATGCACTCTTGATCCATGCAGCTGGCCTTCTAGAACACAGGTTTTGGTTCTCCTGGATGTTTCTTGGACATACATCCATACATTTCATTCATGTTTCCTTATTAACCATTGAACAAGCGTCCCTGTATCGTCAACTTGATTTTCATGTCCCGATTGTTTTTAGAAAACAAACAAGAATATCATCCATCTAAAGGTTTTCCCAGATAAACTAATGTCACTTCAGTGTTGCCATACACTGCAGATACTGCTGGATACAGGCATGTCTTTGGCAGTCCTCGGAATGCAACTCCCAGGAACTCGTAGCCCCGCTCAAACGCCAACGTTTTGTCTTCCATATCCAGGATGACACGAATTCTCTCACCTATCTATAAGCAAAAAGAGAAAAGGTTGAGAGGAAAGGAATGAGATAAAGATGGCCAATATTAGAGCTAAAACATTTCATAAGCCCTGACAACGGATACTTACCTCTGCTCGCTGATATGTTACACTATATGTTATATTATATTACATTGTGCTTTTAAGGTATTGTATATTAACTGGTATGATTTTTCATGAGTTAATTCTTCTTTGATTGTTATAAGTTATATTGCATTTATTTCACTCTATGTTTTGTTTTGATCGTCTATTTAGTTTTGGCATTGAATGTTTGCCACTTTGTTATTCCTGTAAACCACGCTAAGTCCCTTTGGGAAGAGAGAGCAGGTAATAAATAAAGTGTTGTTGTTGTTGTTGTTTGAATTTGAAAAGCATTTTGCTTTTTAAAACTATTCCAGAACTATTTACACTATTTATACAAGGGCTTTGTGAAGAAAGTGCTGGACAGATCTGGGACGCTGTGAAGGTGAGCTGTGGATGTAACAAAAACAGAGGCTTTTTCTGAAACAGACAAGATCTGGAGTTGATGCAGAGACATTTGGGCTTTAAAAGAGAGAGCTGAAGAAGAACAAGACTGCTGGCAGGGATAGATTTTGGATTTAAGAAACATAGAACAGTCTGTGGTAAGAGAGAACTCACACTGGTTTTGGAGGAGGCTTCAAAAAATAAAATATTCCATCTAATGTGTTGTCATCTTGTGTTGAAGAAACTTCAATTTGCTTTTCTGCTTTTAAAACTGTTTCTGGCTATCTATATCAAGTCTGATATAAAGTCAGGCCAAGCCTATCATAACAAACCCACAGGTCCATTTTAAGGGGTCAGCCTGAAGCTCAGGAACCCAATCCAGAAAGGGATTAAGTGGGGGAACAAGGGCAGGGTGAATAGAAATATTCAAGGGTTGGAAGTGCAGTGCCAACTTGGGAAAATAACGGCACTAACTTTAACATCAGTTGGATTTCAATCTTACACACATTACCTAGGAGTATGTCCCACCGATCTCAGAGGGATGTTCTCAAATAATAATAATAATAATAATAATAATAATAATAATAATAATAATAATAAACAACTTTAATTTATACCCCGCCACCATCTCCCCGAAGGGACACGGGCGGCTCACATAAGCACTCCAGGGTGATGCACATAAAATAAACAATACATAAGCATAAAATAAACAAAACATAAGTAAACTTGCATATTGCTAAATCCTAAATAAAACATACTGGTCTGCATCCAATTTGTAGTCTTGGATAGACTAGACCCAATGAAACAATAACTGAACTGTTAAGTAAATACTGTATGTAAATTTTGTTGGTTGAGTGAGGCAACTTCAATTAGACTAACAATTGGATTGAAGTCATCATAACCAGCTAGGCAGGAATGATCAAAGACAGAAGTGTTACCAACTCCAGTAACATTTGGAAATAGCAAAACTCACTCACCTGATATTTTGGGGCATTGTTGCATTGAGGAAAGCTGCCGTTTACTTCACCGTTATGCAACAAGTTATTGTCCACCAAATTCCAGCCCCAGCTCTGGTCGTCGCTGCCCAGGAGGGCCACATAACCTTGGCACTGCATGGGAGCCCGCTTTGTTGCAATTCCAATTACTGCTACGGTGCCGAGAGGACCTTCCCACCAGACTTCCCAGGCATGGCGGCCTTCGCTGAAGCCGATCTTGGTTCTGGCTCCATCCGTACTTTGGGCAATGGGATTCCGGTGCAAAGTAAACCCATTCTTCTTAATGTAGACATTCCTAGAACAATCATTGGTGCTGAAAGCATGCTGAAAGGCACGTACCTAATATTGGGGAAGAGGGATATTGGAAAAAAAGGTAAAGAATTTGAGATAAGATTATCTAACTATGCAAAGCCTGGAAATGATACTGATGTTTACATTTATTCTCTTCATGGGTAGTATCATTATTTCCTCATTTACATTGATATTTAATGGAATAAATAATAATAGGTAAAGGTAAAGGTTTTCCCCTGACATTAAGTCCAGTCGTGTCCGACTCTGGGGGCTGGTGCTCATCTCTTATTTCTAAGCCGAAGAGCCGGCGTTGTCTGTAGACACCTCTAAAGTCATGTGGCCGGCATGACTGCATGGAGCGCCATTACCTTCCTGCCAAAGCAATACCTATTGATCTACTCACATATGCATGTTTTTGAACTGCTAGGTTAGCAGAAGCTGGGGCTAACAGTGGGAGCTCACCCTGCTCCCTGGATTCGAAGCAGCAACCTTTCTATCAGCAAGTTCAGCAGCTCAGCGGTTTAATCCACTGGTCCACTGGGGGTTCCCATAAATAATACTATTATTAAAGGAATAAACATTAGCTCTGTTTACTTTCCAATCTATTGAATGACATATTTCTCCTCTCCTCTCTCTCTCTGTCATAGCACTACATTTAAAACTAAGACCTAAAGGCAAAAGATTCAAAGCACAATGAAGATAAAGGGGGGGGGGGGGAGTAAAAGTTTCAACTTTGAAGATTTCAAATTGATACAGAACATGAAGATAGGGGATTAATAATTTACCACCACAACCACAAAGAAGACATTAGGAAAAATATTATCTTTCTCCCTAAAAGCGACAGCTCATTTGGTATCAAATTACATACTAGCTAAACAAACCGAGGGTTATAAACAGCCTTCCCAAAAGCATATTTTAAGTATCACATAATCTGAAGTACATGTAAATTGGCAAGTTAATTAAGAGAAAACAATAACTGAAAACCCATCAACACCAGGTCTACATATAAAAAAAATCTGAATGAGAGAAATTCAGAAATGTGTTTTACTTTATGACAAGCCAACATGTGAAAGAATACCAGAGGAAAGTAACAGATATGCACAACAACAGACTTCACCACTGGCAGAACTGAATCAGTATCTGTTGAGACAGAGTTCTGCCAAATATCAAGCCCTTTCAGAAAGAAAACAATGGAGCCTCTGGTGGCGCAGTGGGTTAAACCCCTGTGCCGGCAGGACTGAAGACCAACCGGTCGCAGGTTCAAATCCAGGGAGAATGCGGATGAGCTCCCTCTGTCAGCTCCAGCTCCCCTTGCAGGGACATAAGAGAAGCCTCCCACAAGGATGGTAAAACATCAAAACATCCGGGCGTCCCCTGGGCAACGTCCTTGCAGACGGCCAATTCTCTCACACCAGAAGCAACCTGCAGTTTCTCAAGTCACTCCTGACACAAAAAAAGAAAGAAAAGAGAACCTGCCCAGAACAAGCCAAAATTTTAAAAAGAGGTCTTTCTCAAGCTTTCTGGGAAGGAGATACCACCAGGTAAGTGCCGTTTCAAAAATAATGTTGCTAATAATTGTTATTGTATATTTCATTTAGTCAAAAGAGCTCCCAAAAAGGCAATTGTGCTTTTTTTTAAAAAAGCACAACAGTCTTAGTAATATAATCTAAAAGATTGCATACAAAAGGAGCAAAGGGAAAAATAAGGAGGCACCGATTCATAATGCAAAATTCTTCCAGGTAAAATGGAAACGACATGGGGAGGAGTCAAAGGAAGCTAGTCTCTTAGGTCCCTTCCACTCATCTGTATAAAGTCCCACATCATCTGCTTTGAACTGGGTTTCATGTCAGTGTGGACTCAGATAACCCAGTTCAAAGCAGATATTGTGGATTATCTGCCTTGATATTCTGGGTTACATGGCTGTGTGGAAGGGACCTTAGAGCTGATGATGGAGCCCTGTCTTCCTTCCACTCCATTCTGCAGCTGTTCAGCAATAAAAAATACCCCAAAATTATCCAAATGGGTGGCTGTGATAGTCACACCTTTGCTTTCTGATGGTTCAGCATACACAAACATTGTTTCATGCACAAAATTGTTGAAAAATATTGTGTATAAAATTAACACTGGCAATATGACATTGTAGTATACGAAGTAGAAACGAATTCTGTGTTTAGATCTGGACTTCATCTCCAAGATATACCATTATGTAGTCCACAAGTTACAAACATCTAACTTACAAACAACTCATAGTTACAAACAGGGGTGAGACACAGGAAGTAGGAGAAATCAACCCCTTGGAAGGGAAATTCACCCAGAAAGGATTATCATGGGGAAAAGGTGTCTTCACTGAAGCTGTATTACCAATCCTTGTTTTCACAACAAGCCAATTTTTGCAAAATCCAATTATCACAGGGACATAATGTGTGGTGGCATCTTCTGAACAGGAAAACAAACACCTCCCTATGCTATCCAAAGATAAAAGATAAACAGATAGATAGATAGATGTGGCTGGAGTTACACTAAAAATGTACCTGTTCTGACTTACAAACAAATTCAACTTAAGAACAATCCTACAGAACCTATCTTGTTTGTAACTTGGGGATTGCCTGCATATGCAAATACCGGTACTCCAAAAACCCTCCAAAAAAGACAATTCTTAAATCCAAATGCAACTGATTCCATGCATTTTGGAGAAGGGATCCTCAGCCTGTACCTGCTGAAATTTAACCTCCCAAATCACACACATAAAGGCTCTTGGCCCACAGCCAACAGTTGGGCGGAGGTGCCACATCTACAGAACCCGTGTCCAAGGGGTGTTTCCACACTACTGACAAGAAGGCACGTCATTAAGGGTGAAAGATAAGCTGCACTTCATTGAGAAGTCACAGAACAAACCCCAAATATTAGTTCTATGTCTTGGGACTACCTGAAAGCAAACCAATAGTCCACCACTGTAACTGCCATGGCACCATGGGATCTGTAGTTTTACAAGATCTTAAGTCTTCTCTGCCAAAGAGTGCTGGTGCCTCACCAAACTACAACTCCTGGGATTCCAAAACATTGAGTCCTGGCAGTTAAAGTGATTTCAAACTGCATTCGTTCTGAATTGGAGCTCTATCCTAAGAGCAATTTGGGTTATAGCCGAGTTAGACACACTTCTTTCCATTTCAACTTTCTAGTGGCTCCACTACTTTTATGAGGTATTTAGAATTATTTCTAGTCAATCACTAGATCACACCACTAGAGAGGGAGCAAGCTCATCCCTTCCTCCCTCGAAGCTGATCTTATCTTTTGCTGGATCTGTACATTTCAAATTTTTTCTGCCTAAGGATGCATCTATCTAACCTGTCTTAGCTATGTGAACACGCCAAGCTACAAACAATAACTGCTTAGAATAAATCAATTAAAATCAATGGGACATAATTAACTGAACAGTTTTTCTATAGAAAAGACTTTGGATCCATCTGTGCTGTATATATCATTATGCCAGTTTCACCCCACTTGAACTGCCACAACTCAATTCCATAGAATCCCGTGATGTAGTTTTACAAGGTCTCTAGTCTCCTCTGTCAAAGAAGAGCTGGCACCTCACCAAACTACAACTCCCAGGATTCCATGAGTTCATCTCTACATTGTAAAATTAGTGGAATATTGCAGCTCTTGACCCATCATAGCTCAATGCTATGGAGCAATAAGAGTTGTAGTCTGGAGAAGCACCAGCGCTCTTTGGCAGAGAAGGCTAAAGAACTCATGAAACAAACTCCTGACTAGTACTGAGCCACGGCAGTTCAAATGGTGTCAAACTGCATTTGTTCTCCGGTGAAATTGCACCCTTGGGATTTGTAGTTTGGTGAGGCACCAGCGCTTTTTGGCAGAGGATGCTAAAGACCTTGTAAAACTACAACTCCCAAATAGCACTGAGCCATGACAGTTCAAGCGGTGCCCATTCATTCAATCCCAAGTGTTGATGCAACTGGGGTTCCTTCCTTCCTTCTTTTCATCCCTAATTATTTTCTCTCCTTCCTTTCTTCTTCCCTTTCCTCCTTCTTAACCCTTCCTTTCCTTTCCCTCCCTCTTCTCCCCTCTACCTTCCTTCCTTCACTCCCTTCTTCCCTCCCTCCCGCTTTCCCATCTCCTTTACTTTCATCCTTCCTTCCTACCTTTCTTCCTTCTTTCTTTCCCTTCTCTCCTCCTTCCTTCCATCTTTCCATCTCCCTTTCCCCCTCCTTAGATCCTCTCCTTCTTTCTTTCATTCCTTTCCCTCCCTCTCCCACCTCCGTCTTTTCTTTCCTCCCTTCTTCCTTCTTTCAATTCGTCCTTCCTTCCCCTCCTTTCGCTCTTCTTAGTTCCTTCCCTTCACTCCTTCTCCTCCTCCTATATCTTCTTCTTCCTTCTTTCCTTTCTCTCCCTCTCCCGCCTCCCTCTTTGCCTTCCTTCCTTCCTTCCCTCCCGCCTTCCCTTCTCCCTTCCTTTTGTCTTTCCTTCCCTTCCTCCTTCTTTCTTTCCCTTCTCGCCTCCTTCCTTCCCTTCTTTCCCCCCTCCTTAGTTCCTTCCCTTCCCTTCCATTCTTCCTTCCTTCCATCCTTCCCTCCTTCTCTACTTTCCTCCTTCTTTCCCTTCCCCTGCCTTAGTTCCTTCCCTTCTTCTTTCTTTCCTTCCTTTCCTTTCTCTCCCTCTCCCATCTCCCTCTTTCCCTCCCTCCTTCTTTCAATTCTTCCTTCCCTTCTCCCTTCCCCTTTCCTTTCCTCCTTCCTTTCTGCCCTTCCTTTCCCCCTCATTAGTTCCTTCCCTTCTTCATTCCTTCCTTCCTTTCCCTCCTTCTCCAATCCTCCTTCCCTTCCATCCTTTTCTTCTTCCTTCTTTCTATTCTTCCTTCCTTCCCTCCTTCCTTCCTTTCCCTCTCATCAGTTTCTTCCCTTCTTCTTTTCTTCCTTCCTTCCTTTCCCTCCCTCTCCCATGCTCCTTCCCTCCCTTCCTTTTCTTCTTCCTTCTTTCTATTCTTCCTTCCTTCTCTCCTTTCTTCCCTTCCTTTCCCCCTCGTTAGTTCCTTCCCTTCTTCTTTTCTTCCTTCCTTTCCCTCCCTCTCCCATCCTCCTTCCCTCCCTCCCTCCCTTTTCTTCTTCCTTCTTTCTATTCCTTCTTCCTTCTCTTCTTCCTTCCCCCATTAGTTCCTTCCCTTCTTCTTTTCTTCCTTCCTTCCTCTCCCTCTCCCATCCTCCTTCCCTCCCATCCTTTTCTTCTTCCTTATTTCTATTCTTTCTTCCCACGCTCCTTCCTTCYTTCCCCCCTCATTAGTTCCTTCCCTTCTTTCCTTTCCTTTCCCTCCTTCTCCCATCTCCCTCTTTCCCTCGCTTCCTTTTCTTCTTCCTTATTTCTATTCTTCCTTCCCACGCTCCTTCCTTCCTTTCCCCCTCATTAGTTCCTTCCCTTCTTTCCTTTCCTTTCCTTTCCCTCCTTCTTCCATCTCCCTCTTTCCCTCGCTTCCTTTTCTTCTTCCTTCTTTCTATTCTCCCTTCCTTCCCTCCTTCCTTCCTTCCCCCCTCATTAGTTCCTTCCCTTCTTTCCTTTCCCTCCTTCTCCCATCTCCCTCTTTCCCTTCCTTCCTTTCCTTCTTTCTATTCTTCCTTCCCTCCTTCCTTTCTTCCCTTCCTTCCCTTTCCTTTCCCTCCCTCCCCCATCTCTCTCTTTCCCTTCCCTTCCTCTCCCCCTTCTTTCTTTCCCTCCCTCCCTCCCTTCCTTCCTTCCTGGGCCTGACCTTGCCCTTGTAGCTGGGCACATTGCAGAGGACGTCTGTGCGGAGCGCCTCGTCGGCCAGGCTCCGGGCGGCCAGGCTCCGCCAGACCTCGCTGTTCTCGTCTCCGTGGAGGACGCGGTGCCAGAGCTTGCAGACCAGGGCGCAGCTCCGCAGCTCGCGCAGCTCCAGGTAGGAGAAGACCAGCTCCAGCACGCGCCCGGGCAGACGCCAGCCGGGCCCCGCAGGACCACCAGCACCAGCAGCAGCAGGCGGGGCCGCGGAGCCAGCGGCGGAAGAAGGAGCAGCAGGCGCAGAAGCCGCGGTCACCGGCGCTGAACTCGGCCCGCTGCCGCCGCTCCCTCCTCCTCCTCCTCCAGCCGCTGCCGCCGCCGCCGCCATCCCTCCAGCCGGCGGCCGCCCCGAGCAGAGCCGCCAAACTACGGACCAATCCGCTCCTGCCCTCAGCTGGGAGGAAGAGGCCCGGCGCTGCACCTCTTCCCCCTCGAAGCCAACAACGAAGGGCGGAAGTGTGAAGTTTCGCCCTTTAAAGCGGCTTCAGGAGATGGACCCTCTACTTGAAAGGCATAGATTGAGAGCAGTAGCGGGAGTAATTGTAATTCCCTCTTTCTCCCGCCAAAGCGACTCAGCTGAGACTTACTTCAGTTATCAATATTCGAATAATCTAGGCCTTGAAGCTGAGGCAGCCATATTAAGTAAGGGTAAATGTTATCGCCGGCTCTTATTGTATGCGCAGGACTCGCACCTGTCAGTGTTGGGAAGGGAGTCATAATAGGGTGACGTCATTTCTCCTCGCCGGAAGAGAAGGTTGGTGTGCTTTCTGTCAGAGGAAGAGAAAGGTTTGCTGTGTTGGTTTTTTTTAGAAAGGTGTTTTTTGACTGGAGGTAAATGCTTGTCTCTTTAAGCGCGTCTGGCCTCCCTCCTTTATTTGAGCTCTCGCCCCTTCCACACAGCTGTATAAAATCCCACATTATCTGCTTTGAACTGGATTATATGGCAATGTGGACTCGGATAACCCAGGGCCCTTCCACACAGCCCTGTATCCCAGAATATCAAGACAGAAAATCCCACAATATCTGCTTTGAACTGGGTTATCTGAGTCCACACTCAGATAATGTGGGATTTCCTGCCTTGATATTCTGGAATATAGGGCTGTGTGGACTCAGATAACCCAGTTCAAAGCAGATATTGTGGGATTTTCTGTCTTGATATTCTGGGCTGTGTGGAAGGGCCCTGAATTGTATGGCAGTGGAGACTCATATAATCCAGTTCAAAGCAGGTAATGTGAAGTATTTGCTTTGATAGTCTGGATTATATGGCAGTGTAGAAGGGACCCAAGTGTCATCAAGGCTTTCAAAACTTCTATGCCATCAATTCGTATCAGTTGCTCTTTTCAGCCTTAACCCATTTATTTCTTGTTGGTGATTAATAGTCTTTTATTTTGGCCTTCGCAAAGCACCATTAATGCTTCATCTCTAAGAATGTAGAAGCAGCACTTGCAGAACTCAGTAGAACTTTAGATTTTTCTTCAAATTATCTCAGTAGTAAGTTCTCTTTCTGGGGACCCTTCCACACATTCCTATATTCTAGAATATCAAGGCAGAAAATCCCACAATATCTGTTTTGACTCATAGTGGAGTAACATGTTTCTTATAAAATTAAATTGGCTTTAAATACTTAGGGAAGATGTAAACAACATGCCTTTCCTGTTCTTATATGTGCCACCATTTAATTTGTTGGCCCATGTGATGTTCATTATGGCAGCATAGTTAGTGTTTAAGTTTTTGTGTTTGTAATCACTAGGTGTTATCTCTTGGAGTAGCTAGTATCTTGGGATGAATATAATTTATCCACTCTTTCATACTGCCTTACTCCAACAGATAGGCATAACCATTATGTTGCTAACCAATGTCTGTTTTGTTTTCAGTATCTTAAAATACTATGGCAGAGAAGTGGAGCAGTGGACACTCTTCTTCAATACTATGTTTGAATGTGAGCAAAGATGGCCTCTTGGCATCCGGAGCAGAAGGAGGGGAACTTACAATCTGGAATGAGGAAGGGAGACCATTAGAACATGCACAGCTCCATAAAACAGATGACATCACCAGCGTAGTGTTTTCTCCCACCTTTCCAAAGAGACTGTATGCATCTCATGGGGAGACTGTTAGCGTCTTGGATACCAGATGTCTCAAGGAACCAGTAGAACATTTCCATGTAAATGAGGAAGAGATCAATTGTCTCTCAGTAAATGAAACAGACAGTTTCTTAGCTGCTGCAGATGATTCTGGAGCAATAAAGATAATTGACTTGGAAAGCAAGAAGTTAAGTCGATGCCTGAGAAGACATTCAAATATTTGTTCATCTGCAGTGTTTCGACCTCAGAGGCCTCAAAGCCTTCTTTCATGTGGCATGGATATGAAGGTGATTAGCAATATATGAAAGTTTAATGTATGTTGTATACTGGCTAAATGTGAACAGAAAGGTATTCAATATATTTTTATTTTCCAATGTATTATGTTAATATGTTTGAGAGAGTCGCATATGCCAGTAGATATAACAGACCTTCCAAACATTCCATTCTCAAGAAAGAAAGCATTATCTGTAAATTGGCAACGTGAGTGTCAATCAAGCTAAAACAAGCAAGTCATGGAAAAATGAATAATTCTCAGAAAACTGGTTACTATATAACCCGTACTTTTCTCCTCTTGGTTTATAGTGTAGAGAGAAGTAACCCTTTTGAGATGTATCTTAGATGGTTATTCAGGAAACAGGACATCACAAGGGAAACCTTAAAATTTGTACATACAGTTTCACAAAGGTGACATTTCTCTAATGTATTCCGTATATACTCAAGTATAAGCTGAATTTTTCAGCTCTTTTTTAGACTGTAAAAGCCCCCCTCAGCTTAAATTTGTCAAAGTTATTTATTATTTTACTGTTGTTATTATTATTATTATTATATAATAGAGTAAAATAATGTAAATGTAATAATAATAATAGAGAAAAATATTCTCTATTATTACTATATTTACATTATTTTACTCTACTCTATTATTATTCCATTTGTTATTATAGCCTATCATTATTATTACATTTATTATTTTACTCTCTTTATTATTGCAAGAATACATAAACACATTTACATTTTAAAAGGTTAGAATAATGGTTTAATCAGAGTTGGATAGTCTTATCTTAAATTACAGTTTTATGTAAATATTCAAAACATTTAATGTTCTGATGCCTCAATTAATATAATTTTATTGGTATCTATTTTTATTTTGAAATTTACCATTTCCCACTCTCAGCTTATAGTCAAGTCAATACATTTCCCCACGTTTTTTTTGTGGTAAAATTAGGTGCCTCAGCTTATATTCGGGTCGGCTTACACTCAAGTTTATAGTTTATTCTTTACACTATAAAATAATTCTGGATTTATTTTGTTTGAAGGTCATGATGTGGAACTTGCAGAAAGCTCGCCCACTGTGGGTTGTGAACTTGCAAGAAGAGGCAGCAGATGAGCAGTCGGCTGGCCAGCTCTTTAACCCACCCCTGGTCCATTCTCTATCAGTGTCTATTTGTGGCAATATTTTTGGTTGTGGAGCTGAAGATGGAAAAATCAGAATCTTCCGGGTAGTTGGTTCTAAGTTTGAACAGGAAATGGCATTTAAGGGCCACTCCTTAGGAGTGTCACAGGTTTACTTTTTACCAGAATCCTACCAGTTCATTACAGGAGGAAATGACGGCAAAGTTTTATTGTGGGACATCAGCAATGAAGTAAGAAAGCTGAAGAGTCCAGTCAAGTCCATCCCCAGAAGGAAGACTAAGATGTCAAATACCAAGACAGTTGATAAATCAGACACAGAGCTTACAAGTGGCTCTGTGGGTTTTTCACCCAAACTAACCATTGAGCATGGAGAGAAAGTGAACTGGATTTCATTCACAGAGATTAAAGGTTCTAGGAGAGTATTGGTTGCCGATCAGTCTAGCAGTATATCTGTCTATCCTATTACTGAGTCTTAAACATATCTAACTAGATAACTGACTCCTTGGTATACAGGGATTACCTGTTTAGGACTTTTTTTGGAAGCACCATCTTTATTACCTCAAATAAATAATTTAAAATAGTTGATAAACCCAATTCATTCTATCGGTAATGGGATTCCTTGGGTTAAACCTGGTATGATTGTACTGGCGAACTGGCAGTACAAACTTTTGGTTATAAATATATGTAAATATCTTTGCCTTGATAAAAAAGAAGACAAAGCCTGCACATCTTTGCACCCATTGTAAGCCTGAAAACCTTTCATATACCTATGCCTAAAGTGGCTGACTTCCACAGAAATCATTCTATTTTTCTTAGATACTATCTGCCTTTCTAATGTCCAGAGCTTGAACAAAACTTATACAGATTGCATCCACGTGTAGATTGTTTCCTCAGTGTGTACTGGAAATAAAACTATTCTAAGTTCCTAAATAATTTTATCTATTCATAGACTTGGCTTCTTCAAACACTATTTGTTTGGTTAGAATTGATGACTTCTCTAAGGAGATTTGCATTAAATTTCACTTGGTGCTGTTGAAACAACTATTTACTTATTAGATACCCATATTTGCTTGAGTTTTATGCACCGTCAAATCTAATGTGCACCTCAATTTTCAAAACCCTGAAACTAAAAAATGTATTTACTGCTCAATGTAATGCGCAGTAGCCTAAAGTGTACTCTTTGTAATTTGGCCAAAAAAGATACGCATTACGGTTGCTGCCTGTTGAGAATTCCTTCATTGTAAACAATTGTGCTGGAACACCAAAGCTTCCAGCAATGGAAAAGAAAACCTTGGAGTGCATCTATGCTGTAAAATGAATCCACTTTAACTGCCTTGGTTCAATGCCATAGAATCCTTGGGACTGTAGTTTGACGTTTTGAGCCTTCTCTGCCCAATAATGCTGGTGCTTTACCAAACTATAAATCCCAGGATTACATAGCATCGAGCCCTGGCCATTTAATTAGAGATGGCGTTCCTCAAAGGGGAGCTCCAGATACAGCTCCTGAAGCTTCCCCTTTTGCTTTTGCTCAGCACTAAAATTACTAATCAGCGCCCCCAATGTTGCCAAGGTCAATTTGCCAAAAAGGTGAGCATTAAATTGGAGTAAATACAGTAGTTGAAGCTTAAACTATAATTTTACTCCACATTTTGAAAATAAATGAATGTTTTATGCTCAGAGTGCTGCACTTTCAAGATTTTGTCCATAAGAATACTGATCTTTCAAAAAAGCAACTGTTTTGTTATTCTATTTATCCATTTTGCTTATTGAATGTATAGTCTGCCTTTCTAGCAAAGTAAGATCCAATACAGCTAACAACAATTTAAAAGGAATAACATTAAAACATCAAATTACAAAAATTATGAATAAATTAAATAATTAATATTGTTAACATGATCCTTACAATTAAAACATTTTAAAAATATTTTAAGGCATAATACAAATAAGTACAAAGGATTAAAGCAGTGTTTCCCAACCTTTTTTTGACCAGGGACCACTTGACCAGGGACCAGTCTCCAACATTAGTACCAACAGGGTTACGAATCAGTTTTTGGTCAACTTTAGATTTGGTTTGGTTATTTGGGCTGCTGATTCAGAAAATGGCATTGGATAGACCACATCAGCTCTAGTTTCTGATACAGAGCATATGCCATCCAGTAGTCGCCATCTGCTCGTCTACAGAAAACCATATTTAATAATCTAGAGCTGATGTAGTAGTGATATTTTGTGGGTAGTCAGCATCTCCTTTCCCGACATTCCCATTGCCTTGGCACTATAAGAGGGCTTTTCAAGACCAGTTGCTCTCGTTGCCGTGTGGTTTTGAGGCAACGGTGTAGTAATAGTACCACAGACCATATTTTTATTCTTATGGACCACTGGTGGTTCACGGACCACAGGTTGGGAACCACTGGATTAAAGCATTGAAACAGCGCACCAATTCCATATACAAACTACAATTAAAATTTACAGTTCAAATGCCTGCCTGAATAATAATGTTTTCACCTGCCACTGAAAAGAGAGCAGGGAGGGGCCAACCCAGACCTCAGTTGGAAGGAATCAACTATGGAAAAAACTCTTGATCCACATATGCCCATCTTTGTATATAAATTAAAGGAAATTTAGGAAATTAAAGTAACCAATTGATGAGACTTTATTTGAGATCCAAGGAAGTTTGCAAACATACCTAAAAACACTTGACACGAAAGTCTATTTTGTATAATACAAAAAGTTTCGGGATTTATTGTTTTGACAGAATAGCAAAGAGAAGGTATATATTGGAACTTGAAAAATAAATAACTATACTACTCATGATACCCAAAATAGCAAAGTCAACTTTTGAAGGATTTATGCTCACTCTAACTGCTAACTACAGTTTAAAATACATTTCCAGGTGGGGTTTGGAGGGCAGTAGCTAATGGTAGTCAGTATTTCAGAGCAAATAACAACTGGTATATTGCAAACTTAAAATGAAGTCCTGTGCTGTACAGGAGGCAATACTCTCATTTGGGATTTTGTTAACCCTTTAAGGTTCACAATGGAGTCTGGCAGTAAAGTGAGCTCAGAAGTGTATTTAACACTGCAGCATTGGTGGGCTCCTGTTTGGAAATCTAGGATTCCATCCAAAACAAGCAGTTTAAACAATTTTTTCAAAAATATGCAGTGGCAGCAATTGAGCAACAGAAAACTATGACTTGTACAAACTTGCAAATAATGAACAAGCACTATTAGCAAATATGACACTTTGTATCATATTCCAGTGTTCTAGCTCTCATCAATTGAATCTATCGAAACATTTTAGAACGTGGCTCAGAATGTGTTGTACTGTAAATGTTTAATTTAACTTTACTGGGGGGGGGGGGGGACGGGGGGACACAAAAGTAGTGCCAGTCTCTGGAACACCGGGAAAAAATACCATAATTGCTGGGCCCTACATCAGATAGTTTGAGAACCACTAATCTATTGAACCTCCCACAAGCACCTTAATATTAATCTAATGTACTGGTACCTTAATCAAACACTAGATAAAGGTTACAGCACAATGTTAAATACATTTTAGAAGTAAGTCTCAACCAAGTTCAATACAGTTTGATCCTGACATATTTGTCTGATTGAAACCTAATACAGTAATACAATAGAGTCTCGCTTATCCATTCTTCACTCATACAATGTTCTATATTATGCAACACAGTCTGCTTCCCGCCCAGATCCACAGCTGTTTCAATACATTGTGATGTTTTGGTGCTAAATTCATAAATACAGTAATTACTACATAACGTTACTGTGTATTGAACTGCTTTTTCTCTTGGTTTGTTGTAAAACATGATGTTTTGGTGCTTAGTTTGTAAAATCATAACATAAATTGAAGTTTAATAGGCTTTTCCTTAATTTCTCCTTATGATCCAACATTTTCGCTTATCCAACGTTCTGCCAGTCCGTTTACATTGGATAAGCGAGACTCCACTGTAGTCCCAAATAGAATAGACCTGTTGAAGCATGAGCTTAACATTTATGCAAATCCCATTTAATTAGTTGGAACTTTAATATAATTCAAACCATCGTGTACTTTTGCATGAAAGAAAATCATATTTATTTCAGATGTTGCAACAGAAACCTGTTGCAGCTGACCAATTACATTCTAGTAAATAATGTGCTTGTAGGCATGTGTTAATATGCTATACTTGGATGTCCTGTCTATAAAAAGCTTGAAGTGAAAATTGACCTTCAATTCATGTTGTACCTCCTGTGTGTATGGCCACTGCCTGCTGGAAAAAGAGCAACCAGCCAACCGGCATTCAGATTCACCTTTTCCTCTCCCTGAAGATGACTAAAGAAACTATATCTCTGTGTGCTCTGAACAAGACATTAAACAGGTCAAAAGGGGGAAATGCAGAAGGACCTGCTTTGTTGGGGAAGGACTGTGGGAAAGAGTTGACTTTATCTTAGATGTTAGATATTTATTTAAGAATATTAATATTCTGTCCAGCTTACATTAACTGTAAAGCAGCATATGATATATAAACTAATTTTTAATTTTTGTCAATTATTAATATAAGTAGTTCTTGGGCAATGTTTTCTTTCTATATATGGATAATTAAATGAACATATTGCATTAATTGTATAGAGTTGATATTTCCAAGATTACAATATTTTATTTATTTATTCCTTTTCCTTAGGTATAATTTTTCGGGCGTGGGTGGGGAGAGATTATCCTATGTAAGTGATCCTCATATGTTTTCATATGTCCACCAACAGATTTCTGGGTAAATACGTTTACAAGTTAAGCAGTCAAATTTTGCAGTGTTAGGTGACTGTATTTTTATTATCAGTGGAGGACAAATGTTGAGGCAGAAATTATAGGCTAGCCTGTGATTAAGGATGAGCCTCAACCTGGTTCTCTTCGTATCAAATCCAGTTGGGCCACACTAGTATTGTAAACTAGTCACAACTGTTGCATTGTGTAGGATGGGGATTGTGGCTTCCAGATGTTGCTGAGCTGCATTGAAGCATATATTATAACTACTCCTGGTTTTAAAATTTTAACAGAGTGGAGAGCAAACTCCAAACTGTAGAGGCTCAATTCAGTGCACTAGATTCTAGCATTCAAAAGTTATCAGAGAAGTTTGGACTTTGGTGTACCGACTTGGACCATCAGATTGACCAGGATGAAATGTGGACATCTCTGCTGGAAGACAGGTGAGAAACTCGGTGAGAGCCAGGATTTGTCTTTAATCATTATGTTCCAAACCTCTGTATACCATTCTTCCAATTGAATTTTGCTTTTATCATTCCATGTTTTTGCAATTATCAGTCTCCTTTGGGGAGGAAAACAGGAAATAATAATAATAATAACAACAACAACAACAACAGGACTCCAATAGACCATCACAGTTCCTCTCATGTGTGCTTTTACATATCTTTTTAGGACCAAGAGCTGCCATCTCTGTGCCTCTTTACATTCTCTCTGTGCTTAGTTTTCTAAACAATAACCTGTGAGTCATTCAGTCTCACCTTTTTACCAAACAGAAATGTAAAATCACAGGCTTGTGTTAAATTCCTTAGATATACCAGAATGTCTTTTACACCATTTGAGTTCACGTTTTAGGCTATAAAGCAAGCTGCTGGACACAATTCTCTGGGAATAAGTTTAATTGAACTTATTGGGACTTACTTCTGAACAGACATGGATAGAATTGAACTATAAGCAATCCAACATACAGTGAATTTACACAGTGAAATGAATGCAGTTTGACACTGCTTTGTCTTCCATTGCTCAACAGAATCCTGGAATTTGTAGTTTGATGAGGCCCCAGCATTCTTTGTCAGGGAAGGCTAAAAACTTTGTAAAACTACAACTCCCAGGATTCCATAGCATTGAGCCATGGCAGCTAAAGTGGTGTCAAACTACATTAATTCTACAACATAGATGCAACCGTACTCTTTCTTGAACTGGAATAATTCTTGAGCTTGGGAAGTAGGCAACTTTTCAATATTGTTGTTTTGACAGATTCACATCTGCGGAGGTAAACCTTTTCTACAGCTACATCTGTGAAACTATTCGTTGTTTACATTCTCACGTAGTAAGGAGACTACCGGATCTGGCAAGAGGGCTTCCTACTCTGTCATCTATTCTGAGGCGAAAAGGGAAAAACCCAAGAATTAGGCTGGCATTGGAGACAGCACTTGAGAAGCTGGGACTGCACGAAGGAGAAGTGAAAGCTCTCTGTGTATTTTTCATTACACATAGTCATGATGCCTGCTACTATCCTGCAAGACAAAGGGAAGGTTATACCAAAGATATCTGCTCCATGATCAACAGTGTGGTCAAGAACCAGCTCCTTCAACGCAGCTTATTGTGTGCTGTTCAAGTGGTGGAAAATAGCAAAGACTGAAGATGTTACCCACAAATCTCCCAAAAGCATTGCTGAAATACATATCATTGAAAAATCTTCCCTTTACATCTGGCTTACCAGGCACCCCGGATTTTAAGGGACAGTCCCATATTTGACTAAAATGTCCTGCATCCTGTCACACTGTTTCCCAGGATGTCTGTTGTCCCGCCTGTTTGAATTTCATTCTTTATCAAAATATATGTGACCTCAAACCTAAACACTATTTTGAATCCAAGTTTAATATCATTTTACTCGTGTTATTGTGCACCTTATTTTCAGCTTTGACACCTGACAATCCTGCTTCAAATATGTCCGCAACTGGGGAAAATAGCACAGTCCTGCCTTACAAAGCTGTTGTGCAGTCAAAAAGAGAAATGTATATGATGCCCTTTGAATCGCTAAAGCACCACATTATTAACTAAACAATTCTCATCTTCTCCACATCTTTTCAGATGTCTTCAAACAATGTTACTATGGGTCGCTGCCCAGGAATTATATTAAACTTTTTGTTTAATAGTTTCTACATGATAAAAGGTTATATTCTTAAATAAATTATAATTTAAATGTTTCTGCATTTTATTATTTTCATTAAGATAAGTTTCATGGATACGTCTCGGGAGGCATTAGGCAAAGATTAAAAAATAGTGATTCATAACTATTTTGTTTTACCAGTAATGAATTGTATTTTGTGGCTGTGTGCTTCATTTTTGCTCCTTAATTATTGTCTTTCCTTATTATTCTTTTCTTTGGGCAGCCAGTTACTGGGCGGAAAGTAAATTTAGGGTTATATCTAGTGAATTATATCTACTATGTGCATTTACTTCTTTAGTATAATTTTTATTCAAGAGAACAAAATTCCAAATGCAGTAACCAACAAAAAACATAAGCAAGAAAAACATAACAGTATCTGCATCAAGAAAGTACATCATAGTACAGAGTTTTCTTAATGTATTAATATGGTCAACAAGTAAAGTCTACAAATATGCAATCATTATATGTGCTTAATAACATAAAATAATGACAGATGCAATAATAAAAAGCACCAAATTTAGTTTAATACTAAATTTAGTTTAATACTAAATTTAATTTAGTTTAATACTAAACTAAACTGGAGGCTGTCCAGGTCCTGAACCGGTGCTTGGCCGCTGTGACGGTCTGGATGAGGGCGAACAAATTGAAATTGAATCCAGACAAGACAGAGGTACTCCTGGTCAGTCGCAAGGCCGAACAGGGCATAGGGTTACAGCCTGTGTTGGATGGGGCCGCACTCCCCCTGAAGACGCAGGTTTGCAGCTTGGGTGTGACCCTGGACTCATCGCTGAGCCTGGAACCCCAGGTTTCGGCGGTGACCAGGGGAGCATTTGCACAGCTAAAGCTTGTGCGCCAGCTGCGCCCGTACCTTGGGAAGTCTGACTTGGCCACGGTAGTCCACGCTCTGGTTACATCCCGTTTAGACTACTGCAACGCTCTCTACGTGGGGTTGCCTTTGAAGACAGCTCGGAAGCTCCAACTAGTCCAACGCACGGCAGCCATGATTTTAACAGGAGCGGAGCGCAGGGAGCATACAACCCCCCTGTTGCGCCAACTCCACTGGCTACCGATCTGCTACCGGGCTGAATTCAAAGTGCTGGTGTTGGCCTTTAAAGCCCTAAACGGTTCCGGCCCAAGCTACCTATCTGACCGCATCTCTGCCTATGAACCCACCAGGACTTTGAGATCTTCCGGGGAGACCCTGCTCTCGATCCCGCCTGCTTCTCAAGCTCGGCTGGCGGGGACGAGAGATAGGGCCTTCTCGGTGGTGGCTCCTCGGCTGTGGAACGCCCTTCCTACGGACATTAGACTAGCACCATCTCTAATGGTATTCCGCAAAAAGGTGAAGACCTGGATGTTTGTGCAGGCGTTTGAGTAATTTAGTGCAATCTGGTAATGGAACATAGGAATGGAACAATGGACGACGAACCTGGACTACGCTTGGATGATGAGAAGATTGGGTACGGTTGTTTTTTGTAATAATTGTGCATTGTAATTGCTTATTGGTAATTTATGGATAATGTGTTAAGTCAATTGTTATATGTTGTATGGAACCACTGCTGTTTCTACTGTTTTTACTGTTTGTGAACTGCTGTGAGTCGCCTTCGGGCTTGAGATACAGCGGTATATAAGCAAAGTAAATAAATAAATAAATAAGCAAAGTAAATTTAAAACTTTCCCTGTCTAAAGTTTATAGTTTTAATACATTTTTTTTTCTAAATACTTGAATATGTTAGCTTCCCCCCCCCCCCCCCATCCCTTTTCCCTACTCTTTGTGCCACCTTCACCTGGACCAACTTATCTTATTCTTTATCTCCAGAATTTCACTGACTCTGTTGCAGGTTTGTACCTGTCATTCTGTAAATAAAAATTCTATAAACTTATCCGAGATTTTCCAAAGTCTGTCTGTTTCCATATTCCCTTTTTAACTTTAATGTGGCAAGTCAGTTTGTCTTTAATCATTATGTTCCAAACAGACGGGAGCTCACCCTGCTCCCCAGATTCAATCCACGGTCCTGCCAGTACATTGCATCACTGGAGGCTCATATCATACAATGATAATAATGCTGTTTCTGGTGTAACTTTAATCTCTGTTTTTATTATTTATTTATTTATTTCATGCACTTTTACCCCGCCCTTCTCCCCCTCGTAGGGGGACTCAGGGTGGCCTCACACAAGCACCGTACGATGCTATCAACAAGTAAACAATTCAAAGTACAATTAGAGCATTAAAAATAATTAAAACATTAAAAATCAATAAAACACATTATACAATTCATTAGACAGATTATACATGCCGGTAAAACCAAATCCAAGTCTAGGGAGATTCAATGTTGTAAATATCCTAGGTCTTTTTTCTATTGCCGCTATCCAATTAATCAGATGCCTGGTCCCAGAGCCAAGTCTTCACTTGCCTTCCAAAGGACAGGAGGGAGGTGGCCAACCTGATCTCCCTGGGGAGAGAATTCCATAGACTGGGGCCCACTGCCGAGAAAGCCCTGTCTCTCATCCCCACCAACCGCATTTGCGATAAGACAATGGCTTTTATTTCCTTAAATACTATTTTCCATTTTTTTAAGATAACGCTGCATGACCACCACATATGGATATATGAATCCAATTCATGGCCATCCCCTGCCATGCATTGCTGTGGTCTAGTCTATGCATATGTGCTTTGTGTGCGTATATATTTGTGTATATTTGTATACATGTGTGTTTGCTTATATATGTGGTTTTGTAATGTATTTTTATTTTTTGGCTTTTAAGTCTCTTCTGCTGTGTTTTCAGTGTTTTTATGAGTGATGGTCACTCGTTAGCCTGATAGGTGTATTGTGTCCAAATTTGGTGTCAATTTGTTCAGTGGTTTTTGAATTATGTTCATCCCACAAACGAACATTACATTTTTATTTATATAGACTAGCCGTCCCCTACCACGCGTTGCTGTGGCCCAGTCTGTGTATATGTGTTTTGTGTATGTATATGTGTGTGTATATATTTATGTTTAGATGTGTGTTTGCAGATATAGATGTGTGTGTGTGTGTGTGTTTTGCGCATGCGTTGTAATGTAATTTTTGTTTTTTGGCTTTTTAAGTCTCCTCTGCTGTTTTCAGTGGAGCCCCTGGTGGCGCAGTGGGTTAAAGCCCTGTGCCAGCAGGACTGAAGACCGACAGGTCGCAGGTTCGAATCCGGGGAGAGGCGGATGAGCTCCCTCTATCAGCTCCAGCTCCTCATGCGGGCACATGAGAGAAGCCTCCTACAAGGATGATAAAAAAACATCAAATCATCCAGCGTCCTCTGGGCAACATCCTTGCAGATGGCCAATTCTCTCACACCAGAAGCAACTTGCAGTTTCTCAACTCGCTCCTGACACGACAAAAAAAAAGTGTTTTTATGAGTGATGGTGACTCGTTAGCCCGATAGTGTATTGTGTCCAAATTTGGTGTCAATTTGTCCAGTGGTATTTGAATTATGTTAATCCCACAAACAAACATTACATTTTTATTTATATAGATTTATTTATTTACTGTATTTGTATACCACAGATTTGAATGTTTCTCCTCTATCTGGTGTTAACTACCATCTTCATATTATTTTATATCAATTTTCTTTCATTCTTATACACCAGGCCTGGGCAAACTCCAGCCCTCCAGGTGTTTTGGACTACAACTCCCACAATGCCTAACAGCCAGTAACACCTGGAGGGCCGGAGTTTGTCCAGGACAGTGTGCCTTTAAGCATGGGCGGGGCGTCTAAAGCGGAAGTGGGTGCGGAGGCCTGCGATTGGCTGCAGTGCGCTCTCGCGCGCCTGTGGAGAGCAGGGGGCTCGAGGAAGAGGCCGTTGGGCTCGATCGTTTAGCGGGGATGGCAGGTATCCCGTTTTGCGCATGCGCCGAATTCGCTTAAAGCCGCCTGAGGAGTTTCTTGCTTTTGGATGCTTTATGGAGCTGAAGCGGACTGTTGCTGTTTCCTCGAAGGCCACCGTCTCTTCTGTCTGCTTGTGAAGAAGGTGTAAGTCTCTTTAATTGGGCGGGAAAGCAAGGCGTAAGAGTTCTCCGTAGATTTACCTCACTCAAAGGCGCCTGCGCGGAAGAACCGAGGAAGAGAACAGCAGGCCTCGTCCCTGCCAGGCCGCTCCCCTCTTGGCTCTCACTGCGAACAGGATCTGTAAAGGCCTTTTCACTCCTAAACGGGAAATTAGATGGAGTATCCCTTATCTGAAATGCTTGGGCCCATAAATGCTTAGGATTTCAGACATTGAAATACTTGCAAATGCATCTTGGAGATTATTATTATTATTATTATTATTATTATTATTAACCATATCTATAAACCACCTTTTATAAGTGTAATACAAATGTCTGGTTGCTGATGACACGATAAATAAATAACCACCTTTCTCAGCTTGAAGGCGACTCAGGGCAGTTTAAAAATGGCACAATTCGATGGCTACAATAACAAAGAACAATTAAAACATTTAGCATAAATAACATTTGATAAAATAAAATAAAACCGATAAAAGTATAAACCCCCAGCGTCTCATTATTAAAATCATTACCCAATCGCATTGTCCAGTCGTTCCGAAGATCAGAGTTCGTCTGCTACACTGCATTTGGGAAAGCTTGCTCAAAAAGCCAGGTTTTAACATTTTTTTTGAAATGTTAGGAGGGTAGGGGCCGATCTGATATCCCTAGGGAGGGTGTTCCATAACCGAGGGGCCACCGCTGAGAAGGCCCTGTCCCTCATTCCGGCCAACCAAGTCTGTGAAGAAGGTGGGACCGAGAGCAGGGCCTCCCAAGAAGATCTTAGAGTCCTAGATGGTTCATAAGGAGAGATATGTTCGGACCGGTAAGCTGGGCCAGAACTGTTTAGGGCTTTATAAGCTAAAGACTGCAGCCAGGAAATCAGGAGACGCTTACTTCTTGGGAGGAGAGCAATGACCAATCTTGATAAAATAGTGAAGAGTAGAGACATCACACTGGCAACAAAGATCCGCATAGTTAAAGCAATGGTATTCCCCATAGTCACCTACGGATGTGAGAGCTGGACCATAAGGAAGACTGAACGAAGGAAGATAGATGCTTTTGAACTGTGGTGTTGGAGGAAAGTGCTGAGAGTGCTTTGGACAGCGAGAAGATCCAACCAGTCCATACTTCAAGAAATAAAGCCTGACTGCTCATTGGAGGGAAAGATAGTAGAGTCAAAGATGAAGTACTTTGGCTACATCATGAGAAGAAAGGAAAGCTTTAGAGAAGACTATTATGCTGGGGAAAATGGAAGGAAAAAGTAAGAGGGTCTGACCAAGGACAAGATGGATGGATGGTATCCTTGAAGTTACTGGATTGACCTTGAAGGAGCTGGGGGTGGTGATGGTCAACAGGAAGCTCTGGCGTGGGCTGGTCCATGAAGTCACGAAGAGTCGGAAACGACTGGATGAATGAAGAACAACAGAGGCTAAAGCCAGCACTTTGAATTGGACTTGGTACCAAACTGGCAGCCAGTGGAGCGGGCACAACAGAGGAGTTGTGTGCTCCCTGAGCGCCGCTCCTGTTAACAACCTGGTTGCCGCCCATTGGACCATTTGAAGCTTCTGAACATTCTTCAAAGGCAATCCCACGTAGAGAGTGTTGCAGTAGTCTATAGGGGAGGAGATGAGGCCCAAGTCGAAATACAAAATTAATTTAAGTTTCATATGCACCATATATGTATGTGTATACCAGGCATGGGAAACTTGGGCCCTTCAGGTGTTTTCAACTTCAACTCCCACAACTAGCAGCCAGATGTTGGGAATTGTGGGAGTTGGAGTCCAAAACACCTGGAGGGCCCAAGTTTGCCCATGCCTGGTGTATACATTCTCTCTCTCTCTCTCTCTCTCTCTATATATATATATATATATAATGTAAATATATACACAATGTTTTTTAAAAAATATTTTGTGCCACTGAAACATCAAAGCAAAGATGCCACGATCTCAGCTACACCCTTGAATGATTTGGCTGTATTTTGGATTTTAGAATTCCAGATAAGGAATTCTCAACTTGTCAATGATTTCGCTATGAGGTTTCTGTTGTGTTCGACCATACATCTCTAAACCCTGGAATATTTTTTCCAGGCAGAAATCCTAACTGTTTAATTGTTATTAATGTTATTACTGTGTTATTACTGTGCTTTTCTCCCAAAGTGGCTCATAACCTTAAAAGTTATAGTTACAAAATATAATTATTAGAATACACCTGAATATCACCTAGACCAGTGGTTCTCAACCTGAGACCTCTTGAATTGCCACGGCAGAATGCTATGGAACCCTGGGAATTGTAGTTTGGTAAGGAACTAGCACTCTTTGGCAAAGAAGACTAAAAATATCTTATAAAAATATCTACAGCATCCAGAATTCCAAAACATTGGGCTATGGTCACTATAGTAGTGTCAATCTGCATTAATGCTTACACTGTAGCTACAGCCTAAGTTATGAGACTACTGTATTGATGTCTGTAACTACTAAAATTGTGAAGATCTCCATAGTAACATAAAGAACTGCTCATTGATTTTTGTTTTTATTTATTTACTACCCAAAACGTTTCTTTGTTCTGGGTTGGTCTTTGTAGTATAAACTGAATCTTTCTTAAAAGTTTGTACTTCAAATACAGCTTTTTCTCCTGGTTCACTTACAATATTGGGCTCCACATGTAAAATCAGCCCTGGCCACTTTCCTGTTGCTGTGCAAAATCCTAATAGTGTTCTTTTCGAAAATCAAGGTTGTAGCAGTAGAGGTTGTTCCGCTATTGATCAAAACAGTTATAAAATTAGGAGGCAACTTGGAACTTCAGGTTCTTGTTTGACAATATACTGTAATTTAAAATTATATGAAAAGTGTTCTGTAATGAATGCTGAATCTCATCTTGGTACACCAATTGTAGGACGTCTCTACACTGTTGGAATAAAGCTTAATCATCAAATGAAATAAACTGTGCCTTTGGAAAGAGGCAGAAGAGATGTCAGAGAAAGATGTTACAGATAGAACTTTTGTATTCGTTTTCGGTTGCTTTCTCTAAGCAACAGTTCTATTTTGTATTGCATTGTCATTTATTGTAAAACAATGATATGCCATTTGTGCAGATACTGGTAATGCACTAAGTCACTTTCCCTTCCAGGAATGAAGATGTCAAAAGACCCAGAGGCTCCTCTCTCCTTATCTGACTGCCAGTGTAATATTTGCATGGACATTTTTGTGGAACCAGTCACATTACCGTGCCATCACACAGTCTGCAATTCCTGTTTCCAACTTACAGTGGAAAAGGCCAGCTTGTGCTGCCCTTTCTGTCGTCGGCGAGTATCTTCTTGGGCACGGTATAATGCCCGCAGGAACACTCTTATTAATTCAGAATTATGGGCAAAGATTCAGAAACATTTTCCAGAAGAATGCCAGCGCAGACTTAGTGGACAAGAGACAGAAGAAGACGGTGAGTAAAATTATATTTAATATTATGCATATAAAATCTCCCTTTATCTGAGGATATCTTAAATTTGTTATTATTCCAGCACTTACAGATAATCAATGTTTTCCATATAAAGTATATCACAATACAACTTGAATGCACTCTGCCATATAGTACTGAGATTAATTTTCATCATGATTTTTTTATAGTAATTTATATAATAGGTTTATAATCTTTACTTTGTCTTTCCCCCTTTCTTTACCATAGCATGTTTACCTCAACCACTACGCTGCTTAAGTAAGCCTGGAGAATTAAGACAGGAATATGAAGCTGAAATAACCAAGGTAAATCTGAAAAACAGAATAGCACCTTTGTTGTCGTTGTCGTTTATTCATTCAGTCGCTTCCAACTCTTTGTGACCTCTTGGACCAGCCTTAAAATAGTACCTACTAATTATTTTATAAGGGAACTCAGCCCTTCCAAACAGGCAAAAGATCCCAGAGGAATTGGGATTTTAAATCCCACTTCCTCTTGGGATGGAGGCTACACAGCTGGCCTAAACTCCAGGCTTTTGCAGGAGGGATGTCCAGATATTCACCCATGCTGATCTGTGCTGTCAGCCTCCCTTCCCATCCCACTATTTTCCCTGCACTTACCTGGAGAAGACTCCAACAAGGGCTGAAAACTTTTCCCCTCACTTCCCCCTCCCTTGGAAGAGCCAAAAGAGGGCTTTTTGGTAGGGGGGAATTTCTGCTCCAGGATCTTCCAGGAAGGAGGAAGGGAGGCAGAAGCTGTTAGTCTGCCTCTGATTAAAGCTCTGGTAAGTTGAGAGGGAAATGAGAGCCAGAGAGGGAGTCCAGACAGGGAGAAGGAAAGGAAAACACATATTTTCCATGCCTGCAGGAATACACAGGCATGGAAAATGTGTGTTTCTCAGGAAGAACTGAGTTTAAATGGGAACTTTTAAATGCATGTTTTGCAGCCTTTAACCCGCAAAAGTTGTCTAGCCACCCTCCATTTTGAACCAGGAAGTCCTGGGATAAAGGTACCGTGTGGATGGGCCCTCAGACACCTGCACACAGACCTAGGTTAAGGAAAGCAAAGGTTATAGGCACTTCACAAAATAAATCAAGCAAAAATGTGCAAAGTCTGTATGAATTAAAGAATTAAAGTATCTGTGAAGTGTACAATGTATGAAATGCAAGAGCAAGATAGAAAATAATGGGGAAATGCTTGGTTTAGGCAGAAGCAGAACGACGTGCTCACGAAGAAGAAGAGAGCAAAGCAAGTGAACAGTATATTCAAAGACTCCTAGCGGAAGAGGAACAAGAGCAGAAGTTAATAGGAGAATGGAAAAAGCAGATGGAAGAACAGCTTTTACAAGATGAAATGTTGGCACGTGAGCTCAGTTTTAGTTTGGTAAGTTGAATATGGTAATTTCTTGAACTTGGTTAAATATCTTGGCACAGTTAAATCAGGAATGGAGAATTGACCTGCAGTCCACATTCAGCTTGTTAGGTAATGCAGCACTTCCTCAAAATGAAGTAGGAGGGAAATAGCAAGTGAAACTTGTAGGTAGATGAAGTGGGGAATACAGCCAGCTCAGGATTGTTCCTCAGCGAGTGCTCCTGAAGCTTAGACTATTTTCCATCCTCTTTCACCATTTCCTATTAGGAGAAAATATGAAGAAGCAAAACACTATATGACTCACCTGGCGTTGGAGGAATTCCATCTCTTTGAGCTTTCTGTAGGAGACCTATCTTTGCAGAGAGAGGCATAAAGCTCCATGCCATTCATTTGTGGAGAATGGGAAATTGAAAGGATAATGTGAAGTTTTAGAGACATCATCTGGTTAAAATTGGCCGCTGGATACATGTGGTCTCAAGACCAGTTCTCTGAGTTCAATTCCTCCATTTTTAAATCTTAAAACAGTAAGAGGGTATTTGAAAATTAATTTAAACAATAGGATGCCTTTTTATTGTTGTTTAGAAGATGAATTCTGGACACACAAAGCAGACAAATACTGAAAACATGTAGCTTTTGTACTCTACTGTAGCCATAGTGTTTCTGTGTAACATTTTTCTAAACTTCAAATCTCCTGCTTCCTGTATACATAGTAACCTATCATGTATTTAAAATACAGTAATAGTAATAGAAAACTGGGTCAAGAGGTATAGCTTAACTGTTTATGCTGGGAGAATTTTTAACTTCTGAAATTGCTATAGCTCATACATTTTAGCAATGTGATAAATTATTTTGGATATAATTTAATGGGCTTATTTATTAGTGCTTACAATAACTTTGATTCTGCCAGTTCTTACCGCATCTCTTATTGACTCAATATCTGTTTTTGGCTATGTAGGCACTTGTACCAATGTCCAGAAAGGGTGATCTTTGGGAGGAATGTCTGTGAGGCAATATTTATTAGCTAAATATTTACTTGTAAGAGTTAATGTAATACAATGTAGTCATTTTCATTTGTGTCTTTTTGACATTAAAGAATAGCTCTACCGAAGAACGTATGAGCAATGGTCTATCACCTGGTCTATCTCCTGATTCCTGCAAAACATCAAAAAATAAATCAAACAGTTCTGCAGACATTAAAAAGTAAGTCAAATCCTGGGAGTAGTACCAGTAGTGATTGCAGAGGAAGAAGCTTCCTTGTCAGATGATAGTTTTGCAGTATCTCTGATTATCCATTAAAATATGGAAGGATAGCATTAAAAAAGCAGTCCCCAAACTGTAGACACTGCTTTTGAACAAATCTCCCCGCCCTAATTCATTTGTACCTTGCCAAGCTTGTTTCCTTCAGGGGACAACTGTATTTATAAAGTGTATTACTCTTCGTTACCTGAGATATTTTTCACTGGAGATTCTAAAAATTGCAAGCAAAAGAGGAACCTTTTCTGAATTTGCTAATCATGTTTATTGTAACAGATTAGAATGGCTATCTTGTTAAGCATAATCCAAAAGATCACTGTTGTGTTTAGAACACTGTTACCTTTGGGTTTTAGCAATGCTGGCTTACATCACATGTGGCATGAAGCTATGATTTACCAGAATAAGACTGTGTGTAAATCAATCTTATAAGTAAGTTGAGGCCATGATTTGGGGCCACAATTACAGCTTTTGATATGACCCATGAATGCCAGTATTACCTGTGGCAGCAATCTGCTCCTGGCTGCTATCACTGTTATTTTCCCATCCAGGCATCCAAAATGCCTTTCACCACTCAGAGAAGGGAGTGGCTCTTTCTTTAATAAGAACTAGGGTACAGGAATAAGCAACTGATCTGTCAAATCAAGTATTTCTTTCTTACTGTCATAGACCAGCATAAGGAGACTGTGATACAGTCTGATAAAAGCATAATACAACAAAATCTAAGCTAAAAGCTAAAATGTAAAAGTATATTAAAAAGCTAAAACACAAGATACTAATTTTTTACAAAGAGAAAGAAAATCTGGAGAGGGGTAGGAGCATTCAGGGAATATGTGGGAGCATTAGGAGGGTAAGGTACAGTCAGACACAGGTCTAGGAAACTAGGGGTGGGAGCATTATCTATCTATCCAGAGAGAGAGAGAGAGAGAGAGCTGCAATTCTCTGATAAGTTAGAATGCTAACCTGTACCATTCATTACCTGGTAAATTTAAGTGCTGCTGCACAGAACTTATAACATCATAGGTTGTAACAGAGTTAGTATCTGACAACAACAGCAAGGTGTAAAATTGTCCTGAGCGCCCTGGCTGTTTATATAGTAATGGTAAGATGAGAGTAGTTCAAATGTTCCTGTAAAACCGACAGGAGGAGCACATGTTCAGTTGTTTCTATGTGTCCAGAATCACAGGGACACAGTCTTTCTAGGTAGGGGACCTAATGCACATCCTAAAGTACTGCATTTTATAGTCTGTAAAACTATATGTTTGTCTTCTTTCAGGTATTTGTCTCCGAAGTCCTGCAAGATCTTAGCTCCCAACTTGCTAGTCAGAAAATCAGAAGAAGAAAACACCGGCTTTTCTGGGGTAATGTATACTTACCTAATGTAAATGGAGATACATTTCTTGTATTTTTGTGGAATGCATTTGGTACCTCCTCTGATTAGAACAGTGGTTTGAAAGTTGTGGCTCTCCTGGGGTTTTGAACTTCAGCTCCCAGAATTCCTTGCCATTGGACAAACGGCTGGAGGGTCATAAGTTTGACACCTCTGAATTAGAACTTGCAGAACTGTGTAGATTATCAAGACATGGGCATGTACCATGTAGTTTCTAATGTTACATGTAGTTATGATTCATAAGAGTCCTGTTTTTAAAATGAGTGGACATAAGAAGAGTGAACTCTATTTGACAATTTTAATTTATGTTCTGTTTTTCCTAGGTCAGTAGCAAAAATAGCTTTACATTAGAGAAAGAAGAAAGAATGGATGAAATGCCCACAAAATCTCTGCAGACTATCAGTGTGGCTAGAAATACTGTGGGTTCTTATATAGAACCAGCTTGCAAGATGAATGGACTTGCTAGTGTCACATATAGGGAAGACTGTGAAACTATGTGTCTTTTCTCAAAGAGCGGTATGGCTGGTTATGATGTAAAAAAAGACAATTTTACAGGAAACCTGGATTGGCCAAACCATCCAGGAAATGCTGCTCCCCAGGAAACACTTATTTCTGTAACATCTGATAGCCAGCAAGACTGTAGCATTCCAACTTGCAACCAAGTAACAATGGAAAATAAAAATGAGTCACTAAAACTGATTACTACAGGGATTCCTAAGAGAAAATCTCAAGAATCACCCTCCGAAGCAGTGGTGGATTTGGTTATGAATGATAAAAGAAGAAGAACTTTTGCACAAATAGATGATGAAGATATGTATGATATACAACAACAAATACATTTGGAGCAGAAAATTTATGAAAGATATAAGCAAGAAGAAGAAGATAGACTTCTAGCTCTGAAGCTTCAGAGGGAAGTAGACAAAGAACAGAAAACACTAAACCGCAAAAAAGGCTCTCCAGATGAGTACCATTTACGCCCTAAAACATCTCAGTCCGAAAAGGAATCTCCGGTGCTTAGGAAACCTTGCAAGAATAGCCAGACTGACAGAGAACAACGAAAATTACGAAGAAGCTCTCATAATGAGAACCAGAAGCCCTCTAACAAACTTCAGACAAAGTCATCTCCAAAAGGAGGGAATGTTTTGAACTGTGTCCTTAACAGCCCTGCCTCTAAGAGTTCAGCATTATTGCCAAGCAAACAAAAAACGATCGTTCAGATGTTTAAGAGACCTGCAACTAACTAGCAGATCAACAGTTGATGTGAAGAATTATAGTATAGAAAGGGATTAAACAATGGACATTGTCTTGAAAAATTGATCAGTTCCTCCCACTTACGTGGTTGAAAACCAGTAGTGCCTGCTCTGTAGCTGTTAGGTATGACTTCTTTTTCCTTCCTAGTACATGCATGGCATTAGGTAATTCTGAATGCCAGGAATATTTGCTTTAAGCTACATGTACTATACATCTGGTAGTTTAGTGTCAGAATATGTAAACAAAGCAACTCCCTGTTACACCTCTACCTTGTAAATATATCAGAAAAGAGCAAATGGCTTTGATTTAGACTGGACCATAATTTCTGATGCATTTATAGAAATATACTACCATTCCTGCTGTTTGTTTTGTTTACAAGTTACAAGATTTATATGTTAAATATTCCAGAAATCTTTCTCTATGGATGTTTGCAACAGATTACAAAGATGCCTTCAGGTATTCCCAAGTAGACTAGTTTTTCAGATTCATCAGCTTATAATTTGTTTAGAACATCATCAATTAAAATGACTTTTAAGTCTCTTGAGATTACAAATGTAGTGTCAATGGACTTCTTCTGAATGCATTTTGAAATATCTTTAGAAATTACTGGGAGACAGAAGCTGTATTTGGATATATACACATAATGAGATTTCTTGGAGATGATATCCAAGTCTATACACAAAATCATGTATGTCTCTTATACATCATATACCCATAGACTGAAGGTTATTTTATATAATATTTATAATTACTGTATTTCTTCAATTCTAAGATATACTTTTTTCTGTGTAAATATCTCTAAAAATAGGGCGTGTCTTAAAATAGCAGGTGTGTATGTTATATATTTTTGTTGGTGGTGGTGCTGGTACTGAAATTAAAGTGTGGCTTACACTCAGTGACATCTTACAATTGAAGAAATAGAAAACTTTATACATTAAACAAAATTTGTGTACAGTGAAATATCAGAAAGCAAAGATATTGCACAGTCGAGGCATCCGTGTGGGCCCTTTGGGATCCTGGAATATTTTGAGCATTCTGGAAATGGAATGCTCAAAATTATATTTATTAATTGAAGTACTTCTGCATACCTTTTCAACCCACAAAATGAACAAATAAAAACAAATTGGACAGTACTGAGATTAAAAAATAAACATGCACTGAAATATTCTTCAACCCCTAAAAGCATGCTAAAATAACTCTGGAATCCATTTTTGAAATGATTAACTATGACTTTTTGACACTGAATACCATGTGGAACCAGTTTTTGTCTGTCTACTGCAGTGGTTCCCAACTTTTTTTTTTACTAGGGACCACTCTCCAACATTAGTATCAAAAGGGTTACTAATCAGTTTTTGATCAACTTTAGATTCGGTTTGGTTATTTGAGGTGCCAGTTCAGAAAATTGCATTGGATAGACCACACCTGCTCTAGTATCTGATACAGAACATACACCCAGTAGTCTCCATCTGCTTGCCCACAGAAAACCATATTTAATAATCTAGAGCTGATGTGGTAGTAGTAATTTTTTGTGGGTAGTCAGCCTCTCCCCTGTCAACATCCCCATTGCCTCACCATGAGACCAGTCACTCTCGTTGCCACGTGGTTTCAAGGCAATAGTGTAGTAATGGTGAGGCAGCTGATCATATTTTCATTCTTGCGGGCCACAGGTTGGGAACAACTAGTCTACCCGAAAGAAGTGAAGTCAGCCAAACTTCCTTGGGTAGGCAGCTCCCTAGTAGAGGTGCTGCCATAGGGAAATCCTTTACATGTAACCACCAACCTTGTGAATACAAACAGGGTGTCTTCCAAAAATCTCAAATTTCTGGAAAAATCATAAGGCTAGAGATCTGCTATATCAGGGGGAAAAAAAAACATTGTCTGCCCTCACAGGATTGTTGTCAGCTCCCTCACTAAAAACACCAAGCAAAGTGGACTTGCGCTTGTTTCACACTCCACAAGTATAGCACTACAGGCCCTTTTTATTTGCTATGGCTGCTTCCAAAGAATCCAGGCATTTGTAGTTCGGCGTAGCTCTAGAATTCTCTTAAAAGAAAACTTGAAATACACCTCAAAATTCCAAATGTCACAGGTCCATAGAATGGAGCCAGGGGAGTGAAAGTGGCATCATAGTGCTATAACTAGTGTAAAAGATAACTTGAAGTCTTCAGATCAGCGCATTCTCCCAATTGGGTGTCCCTGAATGACAAGAATACGAACAACCTTTTTCAGTGGAACATGAAGAGAACAACAACTGTACACTCAATTTGATCCTTTCCACATCTGAATTATCAGATCACCAGCCTTGAAATCATCTACACCAGGCATGGGCAAACTTGGGCCTTCAGGTGTTTTGGACTTCAACTCCCATAATTCCGAACAGCTTCAGGCCCCTTCCTTTCCCCCTATATCTCATTAAATACATGACACAGTATATAAAATGGTAAAATTAAAGTTTTATTTTTGATTTTTTTAAAAAAAATCAAGCCATTGACAGTGGAATACATGGATGTGGAATTTGTGGATATGGAGGACCAGCTGTATATATAAATACAGATATTCCAAAACTCCTGACCCCAATTATTTATTTACTTACTTAGGTTTTAATAACTACTTGTATTGGTTTTTAGTTTAGATTTTAAAATTTGTTGATGTTTGAAGTGTATAACCCCATGTTGTGATCTGGTCATTGATCATAATAAACTTTACTTACCTACTGTATTTATATCCCGCCCTTCTCGACCCTGAAGGGGACTCAAGGCAGCTTACAGTAGAGGCAAAATTCAATGCCTTAAGCAATTCAACAATTAAATATTTTGTTAAAATCTAAACGAGGTTAAAAGCATTTATTTATTTATTTATTTCATACACTTTGACTCCACCCTTCTCCCCCCAAGAGGGGACTCAGGGCGGCCTCACATAAACACTGTATGATGCTATCATCATATAAATAATAAACAATTACAATAAAACATTAAAACAATTCACTAAACAGTAAATTAGTCACGCCAGTTAAAACCAAATCCAAGTCTGGGAATTAAATCAATGTCGTAGTATCCAATTTTTCTTTCCAATTGCTGCTGTCCACTAATTGAACGCCTGGTCCCAAAGCAAAGTCTTCAATTTTCTTCTAAAGGACAGGACAATTAAACATAAACAATACCCCTTACAGCTCTAGAATCAAAGAGTTGGAAGAGGCCTCATGGGCCATCCAGTCCAACCCCCTGCCAAGAAGCAGGAATACTGCATTCAAATCACCCCTGACAGATGGCCATCCGGCCTCTGTTTAAAAGCTTCCAAAGAAGGAGCCTCCACCACACTCCAGGGCAGAGAGTTCCACTGCTGAACGGCTCTCACAGTCAGGAAGTTCTTCCTCATGTTCAGATGGAATCCCCTCTCTTGTAGTTTGAAGCCATTGTTCCGCGTCCTAGTCTCCAAGGAAGCAGAAAACAAGCTTGCTCCCTCCTTCCTATGACTTCCTCTGACGTATTTATACATGGCTATCATATCTCCTCACAGCCTTCTCTTCTTCAGGCTAAACATGCCCAGCTCTTTAAGCCGCTCCTCATAGGGCTTGTTCTTCAGACCCTTTATCATTTTAGTCGCCCTCCTCTGGACACATTCCAGCTTGTAAAATCCAGCTTATAAAATCACGTTACCCACAATCAAGTATTTTGGATATGAAAAACTCAAACTTTATTTGAGACACATCAGCTACAAATACCAGTGTACAGCTGAGAAGAAAAAGGAAAGGACCTGAGGCTGTTAGGGATTGTGGGAGCTGAAGTCCAAAACACCTGGAGGGCCCAAGTTTGCCCGTGCCTGCTCTCACGCCTCCTTTTTCTCAGTTTGGGGATTGGGTTCCGCCGGCCACTAGGGGGTGTCACGAGCTGGGAGGACCTGATAGCAAAAGTTTAGCAAAGAGGGGCGGTGCTTGCGTGCTTTCCTCTTCCGGTTCTCAATACAGCCTGATGTTGAAATTGAAAGCTCGCCGGACGAATCGGGGCGCGGCGTTGTTTGCGCCTGCGCGGTGGGGTCGGCAGGTGGCGGGTCGGTGTTGTTCGGGGGAGAGCGGCGGCAAGATGGCGGCGCCCGGGGGCTCCGCTGCCGCCTCGGCGCTGAAGGGGTTACTCCAGCAATTCACCGCCATCACGGGTGAGCCGCACGAGCTGGGGAGGCCTTTGCGCTTTTGGGGAGCGGAAAGGAGAGAGGGTTTGGGGGAGAGAAAAGAAGGGGGTGGGGGCCCTCTCTCTCTCTCTCTCTCCCTCAATTGGGGCCTTGTGGTAGAAACCGAGGCGCTGCCGAGTGTAGAGAAGTGCCTGTTGCGTAGGAGGAGCGGGAGGGACATTCCATTGGAGGAAAGGCGGGGCTGTTGTGTTGGAGAGGAAGGCGATGGGCACTCAGGCAGGCCACACACAGGGCAGCGCAGTGGGACACTCTCCCCTCAAGCCCTGCTCTGTCTTGGGGAGCATCCAGGATGGAGGCAGTTTCACGCCACTTGAACTGTCATGGCTCAACGCTATTGCATTATGGGAGTTGTAGTTTAACAAGGCATTTAGATTTCTCGGTCAGAAAGTGCCGAAAATGAATGCAGTTTCACACCACTTGACCTGATATGGCTCTATGCTATGGAATCATGGGAGCTGTAGTTTCACAAGGCCTTTAGACTTTGTCAGAGAGTGCCATAAATGAATACAATTTCATGCCTCTTGAACTGTCACGGCTCAAGGCTATTTCATTATTGGGGGGGGGGGTTGTAGTTTAACATGGCATTTAGCTCTTTATGTCAGAAAGTGCCATAAATGAATACAATTTCATGCCACTTGAACTGTCATGGCTCAATGCTGTTGCATTATGGGAGTTGTAGTTTAACAAGGCATTTAAATGCTGTGGAATCATGGGAGTTGTAGTTTAACAGGGCATTTAGCTTTCTCTGTCAGAAAGTGCCATAAATGAATGCAGTTTTACGCCACTTGACCTGACATGGCTCTATGCTATGGAATCATGGGAACTGTAATTTCACAAGGCCTTTAGGTTTTGACAGAGTGCCATAAATGAATACAGTTTCATGCCACTTGAACTGTCATGGCTCAATGCTGTTGCATTATGGGAGTTGTAGTTTAACAAGGCATTTAGCTTTCTCTGTCAGAAAGTGCCGTAAATGAATGCAGTTTCACGCCACTTGACCTGACATGGCTCTATGCTATGGAATCATGGGAGCTGTAGTTTCACAAGGCCTTTAGGTTTTGTCAAGAGAGTGCCATAAATGATTACAGTTTGATACCACTTGAACTCTCATGGCTCAATGCTGTTGCATTATGGGAGTTGTAGTTTAACAAGCATTTCGATTTCTCTGTCAGAAAGTTCTATACATGAATGCAGTTTCTTGCCACTTGAACTGTCATGGCTTCATGCTATGGAATCACAGGAGCTGTAGTTTCACAAGGCCTTTAGACTTTGTCAGAGAGTGCCATAAATGAATACAGTTTCATGCCACTTGAACTCTCATGGCTCAATGCTGTTGCATTATGGGAGTTGTAGTTTAACAAGGCATTTCAATTTCTCTGTCAGGGAGTGCTGCACATGAATGCAGTTTAACACCACTTGACCTGACATGTCTCCATGCTATGGAATCATGGGAGTTGTAATTTCACAAGGCCTTTAGGCTTCTCTTGTCAGAGAGTGCTGTACATGAATGCGTTTTGATACCACTTCAGCTGCCAAGACAATAGTGTGGAATCATGGGAGTTGTAGTTTGGTGAGGCACCAGTATTCTTTGTCAGAGATGGCTTAAAGACCTTGTGAAACTCCAACTCCCATGATTTCATGGGAGTTTGTCACCAGTTGGCACTTCATAACATAGAAATCATGGGAGTTGTCACCAGTTGGCACTTACGCTATTCTCTCTCTCTCTCTTTTGCTCCCTTTCAATTATTATTATTATATTTATTTATTTATATCCCGCTTTATCTCCCCCAAAGGGGACTCAAAGCAGCTTCAGCATAGGCATTTAAAATATACAAATATACGAACATTAAAACAGCATTAAATATAACTAGTCAACACATACAGCATAAAACCAAAATAATACAATTTTTAAAACAACACTAGATAAAACTAGCTACCATCAATTCACAAAGTGCCAAGTGTTAACTTCATATGGGCCGATTCAGCCTACTCGAGTTCAAAAGCCTGTTTGAACAACCATGTTCTCAGGTTGGAATGGAAGGATTGAAGGGTGCGGGCTAATCTAATCTCTTTTGGGAGGGTATTCCGGAGCCAAGGGAGTCATCACCACGAAGGCCCTCTCTCTTGTCCCCACCAACCACGCTTGAGATAGTTTTATTAGCAAACTGGAGGTTAAACCAACCCCTTATGAGAGATACAGACACATACTTAAATTGTATGGGGACATAACTTATCTCATGAAAACCTTTCATTTATATTTTTATGATCTAAGAGACCTTTAACTTCAAATAGATAAACATTGCAAATGCATTGCTCTCCCAGGCCTTCTTACTGGGATTTCCTATGATGCAAACTGAATGCTGAATTGATCAGTTATTGGTGTATAAAGCCCCATCTACACTGACCATTTAATGTAGTTTGAAGTTAGCTTCAAACTGCAGCAGCCAGACAGGAAACTCCCACAGAAAAAGCCCTCAGTGTTTTGTGTCATCGCCATCTGGGCCTCAAACAGGTTCCAGGATTACCTTTGTAATCATATGCACAGCAAAACCACTTCCTTCATTACCGGTTTGAAACTTCATTAAATGGTCACTGTAGACCCCCCCTAAGTGATAGGAGTCGCACTTAATAAAGATGTGATGACAGTTCTGTTGAACCACACTGTATTATTGTGGATTACCTTTGTAATCATATGCACAGCAAAACCACTTCCTTCATTACCGGTTTGAAACTTCATTAAATGGTCACTGTAGACCCCCCCCCCCCCCCCAAGTGATAGGAGTCGCACTTAATAAAGATGTGTTGAACCACACTGTATTATTGTGTGAATAAGGTATTTTTGAAGTACAACAGACCCTTCACATTTGCTAGGGTTAGAGGTGTGAAGATGGGAAACCCATAAATAAACACCATAGGTATTTCTGGGTCATCCAGTATGACTATTCTTGAGAAGTTAATTATAGAGTTGCACTGAAGTACCCACATAGGCCATTTTAATAAGATCCATGAATAATCCAACCTGCAGATGTGGAGGCCTGCCTGTTTGCATTTACTTCCCTTAAAAGTACCCAGTACATCTGAATACTTAGAAAAACTAATTGAAGTAGAGAAATTCGGCATTCTGCCAAGTCCATTCAAGAGCTTAGATATGGGATGATAGCAGTTGACTCCTGACAGCTGGAAGTGTGTGCATCTCATTATGGGGGTTCCATTTCTTTATAACTATTAGTCTTTGACGTACAAATGTCTACTCCTGTAAAAAAGTAAATAAAGACCTGCTTTTTAAATAGTAGTGCATAATAACTGTGAATTGTAAAATACTTTCCTTTCGGAACTGCGACCAATCAGTTTTGACAGCAGTGGGCAAGATGGGCCAGTGGTCTGATTTGGTGTAGGACAGGCCGTCGTTTATCCAATTGTCTTTGCTAGTGCTTGAGTGTGAACTGACCAGCTCCCATAAAACCCAACCAGATGTTACTGGAGCTTCATAGAACCTGTCCATGGAGAAGTATTTTTAACATTGGCAGGATCCATTTATTGAATTACTACCATCAAGGGACATGGTGCTTTGTAAACAAAACAACAACAAAACCATCCAGTCTAACTAATCTTAAATATACCCATGCATACACACAGATGAAGGATGGAGTAATGCAAATAGAAAACTAGTATGGTACCCATGATTTTATTTATCCACATACAACAAAATCTGCCCTATAGATATTTTCTAGGTACTGTATGGTAGTCTCTTCAGCTCTTATTTATTTGCGGGGTGAGGATGTTTGACCTCTATTTAAAGAGGCAGTCTTCCAATGGCTATGAATGCAACCCAACACAAAATTGTAAGCTAACTTAAAACATTATGGAACTGTTTCTGGAAAAAAAATGTAACTTGGTTCTTCATTGTGAATGTTCTTGATGACAACAGAATGGAATGAAATAATCAGAGTGCATTGCATCCACAAATATCAGAGCTACTATCCATATTTCACATTATACTATATAACAAAATTTGAAACATGTTCTGTTCCTGGTTTTAAAATATTATTTCCTGTTTAATTGTATGGTACTTTCTTTGAAAGTAATTGTTATACTCCAGAAATTTGGTTTCTGTGGCTGCCACAAAGTATGTTGAATTGGTTGAGATACTATGAGATATTCATTGAAAAACTATAGCAAAATTTGCTGCAAGCTGTCCTGCAAAAACAACGTTTTTGCAGATTAATAAACTTTCCCCATGTTTTTATAATAGAACCAATTAGGAAAATGATATTTATAACCCAGGAACAAAAATCATGTTATATATTGTGTTATAATTGCAAACAGTTTGGCCAGAAGAAACAAAAAAAACTGTTGAAATTAACTACCGGTAATAAAATTAAGGGCAAGAGGACTCTATTGCAATGGCACGTAAAATGAATTGTGAAAAAGAATTCAAGTATGTATTCTGTACTAGACATAGTACTGCAATTTGCTCTCGCTATTTGTCCACATGTGTGGCTTCAGTTTTATGGCAGTGTGTGGCTTCTAGTGTGTTATCTTCCAAGCACAGACAGTCCCACTGGAGCATTGCAGCGCACCCAAATACCTGGGAGTCACTCTGGACCGTTCTCTGACCTACAACAAGCACTGCCTGAACATCAAACAAAAAGTTGGTGCTAGAAACAATATCATACGAAAGCTGACTGGCACAACCTGGGGATCACAACCAGACACAGTGAAGACATCTGCCCTTGCGCTATGCTACTCTGCTGCTGAGTATGCATGCCCAGTGTGGAACACATCTCACCACACTAAAACAGTGGATGTGGCTCTTAATGAGACATGCCGCATTATCACAGGGTGCCTGTGCCCTACACCACTGGAGAAATTACACTGCTTAGCCGGTATTGCACCACCTGACATCCGCCGGGAAGTTGCAGCCAATAGTGAAAGGACCAAGGCAGAGACATCTCCAGCTCATCCCTTGTTTGGGTATCAGCCAGCACGTCAACGACTTAAATCAAGAAATAGTTTTCTTAGATCTACAGAGACACTCGCTGGAACACCTCAGCAAGCGAGAGTTCAAAAGTGGCAGGCTCAAACCCAGCACCTCAATCCGGCTGATACCAAATGAGAGACTCCCCTGGGCACACAGAAGACTGGGCGACTTGGAAGGCGCTGAACAGACTGCGCTCTGGCACCACGAGATGCAGAGCCAACCTCAAGAAATGGGGCCACAAAGTGGAATCCACGACATGCGAGTGCGGAGGAGAGCAAACCACTGACCACCTGCTGCAATGCAACCTGAGCCCTGCCACATGCACAATGGAGGACCTTCTTGCGGCAACACCAGAGGCACTCCAAGTGGCCAGATACTGGTCAAAGGACATTTAATCAGCTACCAAGTTTGCAAAATTTGTTTTTTTTTTATCTCTTTGTTTGTTTTGTTCTGTTAGAAATGTAATACAATGTTCTGGTTGCGGATGACACGATAAATAAATATCTTCCAAGCACAGACAGTCAAATTGTGTGTGACTGAAGACAATTCTTCTTCCAGCTTGGCCCAGAAAAATCAAAAGATAGGACACCCCTGCTCTCTATCTGCATTTTACTTAAAAGCCAATGAAACCAGATGTTTTTAAGTTCCTCTCAGAACTGCCACAGAACAGCACTGAAAGGAAATTCACATTTGTACACAGTAAGGAATAATAATCTTACAGATAATGTTAGACCACAGTTTGCATTATCTGTCATTAGTTATTCTGGCTGTGATTGATGGGATTGGAGTCCAACAACATCTGGAGGGTCACATGTTCCATATGCAAGTTTTACAACCTGTATATACTGCCCATAGTGTGATATCCAAAACTAAAAAGATGTTAGTGTAAGTAGTCCCTCAAATATTTAGACACGAGCTGTTAGTGCTTGAAAATCTTAACAACTGGACTTTGCCATGCAACCAAACATGCAATCAGTACAATTCATGCAGTATTGGTGTCATGTTCTCTGCTAGCCCACATAAGGATATGTGCAGACATATTATGTATCAGCTGGGGGTTTTGAATAATCCATTAAGTCCACCCATATAATATGAATTATAGTCGTCCGGTTTGCATGTAATTGGCATGATAAGAACCCAGGTTTGTTCCTCAGATGGAGTTGCAGCTGACACACCAAACCAAAGAAGGGTTTTACTTCAACCACCGGGGCACCTACTGTCAGTGCCAGGTCCAGAAGAGCCCTCAGACTGGAAATGTAATCCCGCCAGAGTTCATTTTCATCTGAGTTGAGTCCCTCTGTCCATATCAGAAAACATTCCCACTCATAGTACTGCAGCCTTTCCTAGATTAAGATACATCAGAGGTGGAAATAGTTTGAGTTTTCCCATGCATTTGAATCACATCTTCCACCATCCTTTGTTATTCATTAAAAACTGCTGTGAATTCAGACTCCACAGTTCCCTGTCCTCAATGACAATTTGGTCATCCTCATCCATTCCAGCCTATTCCAAAACTCTCTTCAAACACCAAGTCAGAGATCCCAGTCTCTCGGTGGCATTAGCAAATGAAAACAACAGTGGGGCTATACATTCTCTATATATTGATATAGGACCCCACTCTCCGCATAGCTTTCTCAGCATTTTCAGAAGGTAGACGACAAGATGGGACTTATGTGCTCCAGAAGTTTATAACATGAAGCAAAAGTCCCCCAACACTACATTTTGATGCCTGCTAGCCAATTGGAAACTGCAGATTTTGTAACGTGCTTCTCTAAACCCAACTCAGACAGCTAAATGATATCATGATTGATGGTATAAGACACAACCGAGACCGCTAGGATTTAATTGCCCCTCTCCATTCTATGGGCCTGTCCAGACAGTACCTTTATCCCAGGAGCTTCTGCAGCTAACAGAAGGGTGGCCAGACGCTGTTCCCTGTAAACGTGGAAGCAATAGCTACAAACGACAAAAATTGCAAGATTTTCAGGTGCAGGTATATCCCGGTTCTGAGCCAAAAATCCACATCTTTGAATGTCCCTGCTCTCAGAAATCACAGGATTTTTTAAATCTATGGTTGTTCCTAGATTTTAGACATTTGTTCCTGTTTGGTCGGTTCCTAAAAAGAAGGTGACAGTTGAGTAGACACAAAAAAGTTGTGCCAGAAGCTTCATGAAATGTGTGGAGGGTACCTTTTCTCCGGCCAGGACAAATTTGTGCCCTCTTAATCAACGTTGAACATCTTTCACAATAATAGCAGTCAGGAACAGACATGTATAACCCAGGAACAACACCCTGTCTACACAGACGGCCTTGCAGTTTATATAACCCGGGAACGGAACATATGCAATGATTTGCATCTTCGCCCCTTACTTTTAAAAAAAAAAATCCAGCGAAAGTTCCATGGTGGCCATCTTAGGAGCCTCTAAATCCTACAATGAAGCAGCAAGTGTGGACAATAGAGGCAGAAATCCTGAGACCAATAGCTATGTATGTGGGCCTCTTCTGAAGTCCCAGGGTTTTTGCCCCTGACTAAAGTGCATGATTTGGTCTTTGGCTGTTCATGTTATAATTCTAACTTTCTGATAGTCTCTATGTTAGGGGTATCGAAAATATTGTTGAATTGCAAGTAACTTTTGTAATTAAAATTTTATACTGAGAATTCCAAATTGATGGTTCTTATAAATGGGAGAAAAGGTACATAAAGCCATTTACACTCTAATATTTTCTTTATAGATAAGCCCTGGCTACTCACCCATCTGAAGAGGCATTTTATTTAGAGGGACTATATTTACTGATCCATTTCTTGATGTTTTGAATGCACAAGGGTGTAGAAGAACTGTTACTTCTTATTCCAATTACTTCTGATTAGTTTGTTTAGTAGCTGGTTTTGATGTATAGGATCTCACCCAGTGATATTACTTTCAGAGAAATGAAAGTTGGCTTTACTTGGAGCTGTCTTTTAAAACTTTAAGAACTCATTTTCTTTTTCTTTTTGTTACAGGGGCCACCGAAAGCATAGGCAAGCATATGCTTGAAGCATGCAACAATAATCTGGAAATGGCTGTCACTATGTTCCTGGATGGTGGAGGAATAGCTGAGGAACCGAGCACTAGTTCTGCAAGTGTATCAAACCTCCGGCCACATACAGAGTATGTAACTTCATGAAGAGCTGTATAATGAATTATTAGCTTTGACAGATATCAAGGGATTCCTATGGTAGTTCATAGTTACTGTCATTAAGGACCCTTCTACACAGATCATATATAATGCCGTTCAGCTCTAGCTAACTTCAAACTCCAGTGAGCAGACAACAAACTCACCTGAAAGCACACTTAAAAAGCCCTTAATGCACCAGTGCTCTCTGTTTAGTGTAATAACCATCTGGACCTCTCACTAGTTCCAGGATTTCCCATGTAATCATCTGCATAGCAAAACCACTTTCTTCAATACTGGTTTGAAACTATACATTAAATGTTTAGTGTAGGTGGGGCCTAAACTGCTTCTGTTTCACTCTAGGAGTTTACATTTAAATGTTTGATGTAAATGGTGCCTAAACTACTGCTGCTTCTATTTAGGCCCCATCATATGTACAAACATTAAAATCTCTGCACATATGATGCGGTTCATTCAACACTACATTTGTATCATCTTTAATCATTCCACCACTATGCTTTGTGGAATGGATAATTTAGTTGTCCAAAATTTAGTTGTTAGTCCAGGTATGAGCACACACATTAAATCAATGTAATCTGATAAGTGAGGATTTATGCAATTTCCATTGATTCTGTGGTTTTACATTAGTTGAGACTACAAACTGCATTTAAGTTTTCATCTTTGTTAAGATTGAATTAGTAGAAACTTGGTAAGTGAGAACTTGCATAATTTCCATTGATTCAATGGGTATACAATAGTCAAGATTCCCATTTGGCCTTCATCTTAATTAAATACAATTGCATGTGTGGTGTTAATGTAGAAATGTATAAATATTATTGGAGTTTGGTTTGCTCATTTACAGTATGGTAACTTTGTGTAGTTCTTCTATACTCATACTTAGTGGATTTCTATGAAGAGTGCAATTTCAGGAATAAAGTCGTGCTATTAATCTTTTTTACTCACTTTAATTTGCTTTCTTTATGGAATGCCATTTGTCTGTGCTACACAAAGTCCTATTTTGTTATGTATCTAGAATTTGTTCATTCAGCAGTAGAATTAAAATATTGCATCATATTATTAGTGTTTGAAACTACAGTGCACTATAGATTTTGTAGGCCAAAGTATACATTTTGACTAGATGGATACAGTTTCTTCTTTCTTTGAAATGCATTGTAATACTTATTGTCATGGTCAAAACATGTGCTTTTTATTTTTACAGAGATGAAGTAAGAGCACCTATTCCTCAAAAGCAGGAAATTCTGGTAGAACCTGAGCCATTATTTGGAGGTAAGTGAACTATATTGTTCTTCCCTTCAAGTCTGATGGTAACTAAGAATGAGCTTTGACAGATTTCCTCCCGGTCTCTCTTGCTCCTCTGAGTCATTGTAGCATGTAGCCTTCTGCTGTTGAAGTATTTATACTACTTTCATTCCCCAGTAGTGCCAATTATGCATAAAATACAGACTTTTATGCTTAATTGGCAGTCTAAGGAATATGTTATTTCATATATTCTGAATTATGCTGCTGCTTCCATTTCCACTTTTTAAAAGATAAGGTGAGAATGTACTACCCATAAAGCCAATTCCTGTATAATATAATGTATAGTGCTCTGTGAGAGATAAATAAATATAGTACTGTAATGAGCTATGAGGAGAGGCATGTAAGAAATAATATTAATAATAATAATAATAATAATAATAATAATAATGTAATAGTTATGGAATCTGTTCTGCTAAACATGTTAATACTGTGAGTATTTTGAAACTATAGGGTGTTTTTTTTTTTTTAAGATAACGGGCAAATTAATTCCATAACTTTATTTTGGCTTCTACAGAGAATTTCTAAGGTTCTGTTTCCATAACTAGCCATCATTAACTTGAGAGGTAATGAAAGTAGTTTTGTTTTGTCCTTAAAACGGTGAAGTAATGATGAGGGTTTGCTGGGGTATCGCTACTCAAAGTTGTGACAACCAATACTGGAGTGCAAATTATTGGCTGCAGTCATTGACAAGTTTCAAAGAAAGAAAGAGTTGCTATTAATGACACAGGTCCTTGCCCCACTGGTGAAAAAGATCCTGCCAGGCTCCCCCAGTGTTAGATATCTTAAGAGCCATAGTTCTAGGAAGTCTCTTTGGAAGAAATGGTCAATCTGTGTTGTCATATTAAAGGTTTACCAATACTATCATTATCTCTTTCCCTGGGTTAGCAATGTCTGTCCTTTATGGCAGTGGTTATATGATAATGCCGATGGAAACAAGGAGAGGGCCAAGGGTTGCCAACTCCATTAAAATGAAAGGCGTCAGCTGTGAGATATATTGAGAAATACAGTTTCTGCAAGCCAGTTAGTGCTGTTGACTAGTTGCCTTATGGTGAGATTCAACACTGATCAATGTAATTGAAGTAATAAGATAGCATGAGATTTGATTACTAGCCCTTGGGGATTCTTGAAACTGCTTACTCAACTTAATGTCTGATATAATAGTTTGTGTTTTTCATTTAACTTTAGTTGTTATTTTACAATTTGCTTTTATATGTTGGGTTGCTAATTTTTGTTATTATGTGTGTATTGTTGTTCAGGCATTGAATTTTTGCCTTTTATGATTGGAATCTGTCCTGAGTCCCTTTGGGGAGATAGAGCGGAATATAAATAAATAAATAATAATAATAATAATAATAATAATAATTATTATTATTATAAAAAAGAAAAGGGTTGTGAAGTTTCAGATATATCTGCAATAACACATTAGTGCAGTTATAGCAGAATATTTCTTTTACCTAATCTGTGTATTTAATTCTGTTTTTTTATGAAGCTCCAAAAAGACGCAGACCTGCTCGATCAATATTTGATGGTTTTCGGGATTTCCAAACAGAAACTAGTAAGTATCTGTAGACCATTCAACCTTCCTTTTGCTCTGTAGTTGTATCTCTGCTTACTAACTTGGAGCTTTTAAAGTAAGTATGAAGAACAGTTGGTCTTCCAGATATCCTTAGACTCTAAGCAGCCTTAGAGTCCATAGTGAGTAATTCAAGATATTGCAAGTTTAGAGTCCAAAAGTATCTGGTTCCTATTCTTTGTTTTGTGTTTGTGAAATCACTAAACCATTTTTAAAAATGTCATTCTGATTTCTTTTGGCTGTGGCATATTTGGAGTTTGTGCCAACTATGGATACATTCACATACTTTCTGGTCATGACTGTTGACAAAACACCAGTTTTCCAGAAGGCAAACTTGTGGTTCTGAAAGGACACTATCTTGCACAGAGACCAGAATACCAGGTAGAATCCATCTCTGACATTCCAAACTTCCAGACTTTTATTTTGATCTCAGAGTTTTATATTTTAGGGGGGAAATAGATAATGCTTAGAGGTTAAGTAATTTGACCAAAAAGCAGAGTACAAGGTAGAGGTTGAGTCTAAGCCTCAAATGTTAAATCACTTATTTTTCACTGTAAATCACAGCTTATTTCACATGAAGTGCAGTGGTGAGGCTTTTGAAAATGTGTACGCAAAATACCTGTTCATCGACATACCTGTACACACAGCCCTCCCCAAGCAAAAACACATTATACTATAGCAAACAAACCACCTAACATTAATCACACACACATAAAACCCACAAAATGAAGCAAAAGTACAGTGCCAGCAAAGTAGCCTCCTTGCTATATATTTTCTACATATTATTATCAATACCTGCCAGATATTAGCCAGGGAGGCCCACTAGCCTGTTGCAACCACTGCCAATCCTTCTGGGCACTGGATGATGATCTCTATGGACCTTATTACAGATTTTCCCTAATTAACTGGTCGGTCACACAACCATTCTTGTAGAGGCAGACTTGTTTAGTAAAATGGCACGCTTTATTCCCTGTTCTGGTATGACCTCTGGCAAGGAAATGGTAGCATATTTTTGTCTTCACTGTTTTCCGGTGGGGTTCATATCAGACCAAATTATTTTCATCAGATTATATTTTATTGGTCCCTAGGCTTTCTGGGAACAGGAAGGACAGACAAAACAAAACCTTTGATTATCCATTATAAAAAAAATGCAAGAACCCTAAAACATGAAAATTCAGAACGGCTTCTGCCCAATTCTCTCTCCTTGATTCCCTCTTTTGAAAATGCATCCCCCCCCCCCCGTCCACAACCTAAAAAGGTTTTGTTTTCTACTTTCTGTCTACAAAGAGGTTTATGGGTTTTCACTAGAAAAAAAAAACAATTTGGAGTCTTAGGAAGGAAAGAAGGAGAGCATTTCCAAAGCTCTGTTTAAATGATCCCTTTATAATAAGATTGCCTTATCTCTCTTTTTCTTCTGTCCCCCTACAGTACGTCAGGAGCAAGAATTGAGGAATGGAGGAGCAATAGACAAGAAACTGACCACTCTCGCAGATCTATTCAGGCCTCCAATTGATCTAATGCATAAAGGGAGTTTTGAAACAGTAGGTTGCCAACTTCTGCTGTGAATGGTTCAGTATTGACTTGGGCATAGGGTTTTGTTTTTTGTTTTTTTGTAATTTTGTATCATGTAGTGTTTTGTTATACATCTTGGTAGCTCTTCATCGCTTTTCTTGAGAGGTATTTCATAGCTGTCACTATTTGCACATAATAATGAGCTGGGCAAAGAGAAATCCTGGTTCTATTATCATCAAGCTGTGTATATAAACAGAGGATTTCCCTGTATCTGTACTAAAATTTCCTTCTAATAAGTTGGTTACATATTTATGCCTCCCTTTAAATTCCTGACACAGTAAGTTGAAAAGGACTCTGTCAAAGTTGAGGAAAATCTTGGAAAGCCAGGAGAAACTGTTTTTGTCACAGTGGGTCATAATGAGCTCTATTGACTGTCTTAGTCATTTTAAACCCAATTCCAATAGTTAGTTTTCATCAGAATTTACTTTCAAATAAGTGTGCTTTGAAAACCCTTAATATATGAAGAATATTGTCTCTACTGCTATTCATTTTATAAATTAAAAATGTATATTGCATTAAAAGAATGTTCTTTGGTTGTAAGAATTCCTTCTGTTATAGTTATAGAGAAAAGGAAACTGTTCAGCTCTTCAAGAATAAAATCTATCTTTATATTATACTACTGCACTTTGTACTCTTAATTCCTGTTATTGCTCCTTAAAGTGGAACCTGGTTTTCACCTTAATTGTATTGATGATTCTACCTCGTAAAGATTTAATGCCTACGTGTTTTTTGAATTATATATTTTAAATATATTAAATTGCTTTGTACAAAATAAAGGTCAAATACTTTTATTAGTTTTAGGAATGGCAGCCATTTTCCAATGTTGTTCCTTAGTTTATGATAAAAAGAGAATTAGCTTCTTCTCCCATGTTTGGAAAAATAATTTCCTCATCACAAAAGAGGAGCCATGCCTAGGCAGTCCCCAAGTTATGAACAGGATAGGTTCTGTAGGTTTGTTCTTAAGTTGAATTTGTATGTAAGTTAGAACAGGCACATTTTTAAAGTGTAACTCCAGCCATATATGCATACCAGTATATAGAATCATAGAGTTGGAAGAGATCTTGTGGGCCATTCAATCCAACCCCCTGCTAAGAAGCAGGAAAACTGGATTCAAAGCACCCCCAACAGATGGCCATCCAGCCTCTGTTTAAAAGCTTCCAAAGGAGCCTCCATCACACTCCAGGGCAGAGAGTTCCACTACTGAACAGCTCTCACAGTCAGGAAGATCTTCCTAATGTTCAGGTGGAATCTCCTTTCCTGTAGTTTGAAGCCATTGTTCCGCGTCTTAGTCTCCAGGGAAGCAGAAAACAAGCTTGCTCCCTCCTCCCTATGACTTCCCTTCACATATTTATAAACAGCCATCATGTCTCCTCTCAGCCTTCTCTTCTTCAGGCTAAATATGCCCAGCTCTTTAAGCCGCTCTTCATAGGATTTGTTCTCCAGACCCTTGTTTATTTTAGTCGCCCTATTCTGGACACATTCCAGCTCTCTTCAATTGTGGTGCTCAGAATTGGACGCAGTATTGCAGGTGTGGCCTGACCAAGGCAGAATAGGGGGTGGTGTGACTTCCCTGGATCTAGACACTATACACCTACTTGTGCAAGTCAAAATCCCATTGGCTTTTTTAGCTGCCACATCACACTGTTGGCTCATGTTTAACTTGTTGTCCATAAGGACTCTGAGATCTTGTTCACAAGTCCCCCATTCTGTATCTTTTCATTTCATTTTTTCTGCCTAAGTGGAGTATCTTGCATTTATCACTGTTGGACTTCATTTTGTTAGTTTTGGTCCATCTCTCTAATCTGTTAAGATCGTTTTGAATTCTGCTCCTGTCTTCTGGAGTATTAGCTATTAGCTATCCCTCCCAATATATATCTATAAGGTTTGAATAGTATAGGGAAGGATTAACTGCCTCCATAGTTTGTTTTGCTGTCTGTGCACCTGTTCAGAAGATTTCACCTCAGTTTCTGTTCCTGTGATAATTAGATTTTGAAAAAAATGGCTTGTTATGGAAACAAGGATTGGTGATGAAGCTTCCGTGGAGACACATTTTCCCCATGATAACTCTTCCAGGAGTGACTGTCCCTTCCCAGGGGTAGATTTCTCTCGTTTCTGGTTGTCTCACCCCTGTTCCTGTGAGCCTTTTGCAAATTGGATGCTTGCAACTCAGGGACTGCCTGTATTTGTAGAAATTCCCTTTTCTAAAGTGGAGATGAGCAATGTTTGTCCCATGCAGGTGTATCGTATGCCAGCAGCATGAAGAAAAGCTTTATCTCTATAGAACAGCACATGTATATTGTTTCTAGTTTGATTAGTTCTTCCAGAAAGCTTCCAGGAATGCTAATACCCTTAAATAGGTGAGATTTCATTTAATTCTGTAGTTGCCATTCTTGTCCTAAGTAATTTTATAAATAGTTTAGCAACCTATAGTCATGTAAATTTATTTAAAAGTCCACGTGGTCAACCTGGATGCTTTTGACTGATGTGAGACTGTATATAGTCAGTCTGCTGGAAAGTGGCATCTTGCTGGAGATTGGGTGACACAAACTTTCCAAGTTTGTGATTCTATATTATGAACCAGTGCTGCTTACAATATATTTACCTCTTCCATACCTAAGCATTTTGGCAGTACATTTTATCGGCAGCTAGTGTGGTCAGCAGAAAGCTAATTAATATATCGGATAATTGTCCATCTTTGCTTAGATATGAGCTAATTTGGGTAGCTTGGGCTAAATCAATATCTAATCTATCACATAAGATCTTTGGGAGGCTTGAGGTAAAACTGTAAAATGTATAATAGAAAATACTCATGACATTTATATCCATTTTTCTACAATTTGATACATTCTCACTTTCCCCTACTGCATTTTCTGTTGGGTTTAAGACCTTAGAAAGAAACTCTTGATTCCAGTTTGCAAAGTCCTCATAAAAGAGAATAGCGTATATCATAATCACGCTTTTATTTCCACTACTGCTCCTAAGAGATGAGTTTTCATTACAAATGTGGAAACGTTGTAATTTTTCAGCCACAAATTTAATTTGAAACGAGAAGAGATTAATGTTCTGCGATGGTTTTATTGTAAAATCATTTTGTGATTCCAGTTTTTCAATCTTTGAAAACATTTAGTCCAAAACATCTGTTATTTTCCGGATGTTTCACACTGAATATTAAACTTACCGTATATTCCGGCATATAAGACGACTGGGCGTATAAGACGACCCCCAACTTTTCCAGTTAAAATATAGAGTTAAGACAACTCCCATGCATAAGACTACACCCGCGTATAAGACGACCCCTTACTTTTGAGAAGATTTTCCTGGGTTAAAAAGTAGTCTTATACACCAGAATATACTGTAGTTTTATGTTAGTGGTCAATCCAGATAACTGAAAATATGTGAATGACATTACAGTGCAAAGCAGAATGCAAAAATAAGCACCCCCCTTGCTTTGACAGATATTTGTACTCTGTAAGGTTTTTAATGGCTTGCTGTGCAGACACTTTGGCTAAAATTAAAATATGGTAGATAAAAATCTGCTTTCCCATTCACTAAAAGCAAGATGCATTACCCTGAATTTTAAAGTGTCAGATTCATAGTTTTATTAGGTCTGCAGTTTGAAAACCCGATTCATAAATTTAAAGAGAATATTGAGTTTGCACCATGTGAATTTTTGTGTGTAATATAAAAATAAACTGATAAAAAATTTAGTTGGATGATGAAGTAAGGTGAGACCTTTTAAGGTTCTGGTAGAAATTCAGTCCAGGATGATTTTGACACCACTTTCTAAAAATATTTCAATCTGTTTCTTGTATGCACATATTTAACTGTTGCTATACTTATCATTTCGAAAAAAAAGGCTTCTCAATCCCTAGTTCTGAATATATTTACTTTGAAGTCAAAGTATTTAATTCTGGAGCAGATAGGTGGGTTTCAAATAAAAAAGATAACAAAAAGGACCTGATTTCCATAAAATATTTATTTATGTGTTTTATATATATATATATATATATAGTGCATTTTGGGGAAAAAAATGGCTAGTTGTGGAAACAAGGATTGGTGGTGAAACTTCAGTGGAGACACCTTTCCCCTTGATAACTCTTCCAGGAGTGAATTCCCCTCCCTAGGGGTAGATTTTTCTTACTTCCTCTTGTCTTACTCCCATTCTTAACTATGAGTCATTTGTAAGTCAGATGTTTGTAACTAGGGAACTCCCTGCATCTTTATTGGGTTATCACTGTAGTTATTGACTTGAGAAAGCTGTTTTGATGTTATACTCTCGTAAAAAGTTATACACTTTTGGTATTGATCTATTCAGTATGAATTGGTGTTTCTGCTTACACTGCCTTGCACACTCAATAGCTAGTGGAGCAGGTACTTTTAAAAAGTGAAATCATGTTTCCAAGAAATAAAATTGCCTCTAGGACTAGCTATAGATTCATGTTTTTGTTCATGAATTATTCAACTGATGCAAACTCATTAGTAAATCTCCTTCAAAGAAGTCCATACATTTCCCCTGATACATTCAGGAAGTGTGAATGTTCAGTTTTTCATAAAGCACTTTTTTCCAACAGGTTTGACAAATCAGTGATCAAAATTACATTCTTGATCAAACTCCTACATTAACTTGCAACCAGCCAAACAGGCAATGCCAGCTTTGTGACTCAAACCAGTAAGATTTCAAATCTTCCCACACACCCAGGTTGCAGCCTGAACAATCCTCACAAAGTTGTTCTCCAATAATACCAAATGTAGGTATTTAAGAATGATGGAAAACTAGAGAGAAAGAATAGCGAAAATGTAAACTGCAACGTTGATCAATAAATTAAATACACCACAATTTCACCTCTTGAATCAGCCAATGTGTCCTGTTGTTAGATCCATGTTAATTCACTTTACAGTCAACTCTAATATATATATTGTTTCGCTTTCCCCAGTTTTGGAAAAAAACTGCTTTACTACTTATCCTGTGTTTGGCATGTTCGCAACAGTTACTTTGGGGTGACCAGGGTATGATAAATTGACGCACAGAGTTTCTTGTCAGGATGGTTTTTTAGACCTGATGGGGTTTTTTTCCCAGTACAGAGAACCTGTAATGGATCCTTGAATAGAAAGCAGAAGCTGTTACTGCTGGCATTGTTTCTTGCTGGATCTCCATTTCTGTCTAATGTTCTTAATGTTGTTTTTCTCCCCAGGCCAAGGAGTGTGGTCAGATGCAGAACAAATGGCTCATGATAAACATACAGAATGTACAGGATTTTGCCTGTCAGTGTCTTAACCGTGACGTTTGGAGCAATGAAGCTGTGAAAAATATTATCCGGGAACACTTCATTTTTTGGCAGGTGGGAAGATTATTTCTCAGAAAGAATCTAAGATCGATAACAGAATCAAGTCTCACCCAAATCATGCTTGGGAAAGTAGTTTATATATTAGATTAAAATTTAGATAGTAGTCTTGAATGTTGTTGCACCCTTTAATGGTGAAATGTTCTCAAACATTGAAACACTCATTTTGATTACTTGATAGGTGTATCATGACAGTGAAGAAGGACAAAGATACATACAGTTCTACAAATTAGCAGACTTCCCATATGTGTCTATTCTGGACCCTAGGACAGGTAAGAAGAAGTGTGTGTGTGTGTAGCTATGCTACTGTAGAATAAACAGTTTTGATTTCCTTTAGATTCCAAAATGTGTATATTATTATTGGCTGGCAACTTACTACCTTATAATCAACTTGTTATCTATCAAGATACAATCCTGTGTAAGGCTCAAACTCAGAAAGGCAGTTCTTTTCATATCCTTAGCTGTCTTATCACTTGTAGTTTGCTTGACTAGATGGGCTATGAATTTTATGGCAGTTCAGTTTATTTCAGTGATGAAGTGGCTTAAACCCTTGCGACGACTGGACTGCTGACCTGAAAACCTGAAGGTCAGCAGTTTGAATCCATGAGATGGGGTGAACTTCCATCTGTCAACCCCAGCTTCCCATGGGGGACATGAGAGAAGCCTCCCATACAATGGTAACACAACCGGGCATCCCCTGTACAACGTCTCTGTAAACGGCTGATTCTCTAACACCAGAAGCGACTTGCAGTATATTCTCAAGTCTCTTCTGACACAGTGAAAACAAAATTCATGCAGTACAGTTTGATAGTTCATTTTATGGATTAGATTATACTCTTCAAGTGTAATATTCCAATCATAAGAGTCATATGAAAGTCATATTTACCTTTCTTCACTTGGACTTTTTGTTTGTGTCCCAAATATGTGCAGTGATGTGGGCCTACAATTTCAAGCTTTGTTTGTTCTCCTCTATTGATTTGCTGTCAGCAAGTTCAGCAGCTCAGCGGTTTAACCCACTATGCCACCAGAGGGCCCTGGTGTATAAATAAAGATTGTAGTAATCATCTGTCACTATTTTATCCTTAGAAATAGAAGGCTTAGTGTTTCTGTCCTGTGGCCACTTGGCAATTCAGTTGCTACTGTCTATGCAGAAGCATTGTATAAATCTGTTAGGAAATTTATAAAAAAACAATGTCGATCATTACATATTTATTGTTTTGAGATATGAAAGAGAATTCTGTAAAAAGTTAATATTTGTGCATTTTTTGAATGCCAATTGCTGAAGTATGGCTCATTGCTGTTTTGAACAGGGCAGAAGCTTGTGGAGTGGCATCAGCTAGATGTAACCTCTTTTTTGGACCAAGTGACTGGGTTTCTAGGGGAGCATGGACAACTAGATGGACATTCTACCAGTCCTCCCCAGAAACGCTCTCGCTCTGTACGTATAATCCTTATTTAATGGCTGGGAAAGATAAATTAAATGGATTTTTGATCAGAGAAGAAAAAAATAGGCAGTACATTACATTTTAATAAAAATATTATTTCATAGTCAAACTAATTGAGTTCTTTTGTGTTTCCTTCCACTTTTCAAAGTATTAATGTATTTTTTTCTCTCCCATTTGCTTCATGGTTGTATTGGCTAGGAGAGTCTTATTGATGCAAGCGAAGATAGCCAGTTGGAAGCTGCCATCAGAGCGTCTTTACAGGAAACACATTTTGACTCTGACCAAGCCAAGCAGGAGAGCAGATCAGATGAAGAATCTGAATCGGAGCTTTTCTCTGGGAGTGAAGAATTTATTTCTGTTTGCGGTTCTGATGATGATGAGCCAGACAATTCTTCAAAGTCAAGGAAGTCTCCACACAAGGACTTGGGATGTAGGAAAGAAGAAAGCAGAAGGCCCCAGCCAGAGCCCACTGCAAGGACTGAACCCGAGGTGATAACAAACCACCGAGAACTGTCTTGCATAGATTCTGGGGTGCTAGCAGAGGCAGAAGCTAAGCAAGAAGCTGCTGTGAAGGAGTTAAATGTTAATGGTAAGTGTGGTAGCTGAATTAATCCTGCTGTGCTTTCCTAAAGCATTGAATTGTCATAACCGATTTAGAGACACAAAATTGTTTGTGGATGATTATCTATACTAACAGTTCCAACATTGTGTTCTATGGAACCCTAGTGTTGTACAAAAGCATCATAGGGGCTACGTGAAAAAAATATTTAAAATCTTTTTTAAAAACATTCAAAACGCTTCATTAAGATCTTACTGAAATTCAGTGTGCCTCTGCTTTAAAAATGAAATTTGAATCTCTTTATTTCCAGACCTACTTTATTCAACACATCCAGGCAATAGGAGTAGATGAAAGAAGGAAGAACACTGTAGGCTCACAGTGCTTAAGGACAGAGTTTGGATTCCGTGGAAAAATCAGGGACAGTTAGAGGAGACTTGGCTGAAGTGCAGAAGCAGTACGAGCCGAGCAAGAGGGAGAAGAGGAGGGAAAGCGGAAAAGGAAATTTCTTCCTCGTCCACTGTCCGTCCTCTTGTCCCTCTCGCTTGGCTTGTTCTGCTTCCACAGGAGCTGCCGCCGGAGAAGACCTGGCTGAAGGGGCAGCGGTTCCAGAAGCTCCCTTCGTTTCCTCCCCAGCATCTTCTTCTTCCTCCTCCTCCTCTTCTTTCTTCCACAGCCTCAGGAGGGAAAGCGGCGGAGGAAAGAAGGCAAGGAGGGAGAGAGGGAAGGCGCAGGCGAAAGTGTCCCTCTTGCCAGGGGAGGATGGCATGAGCACCCGAGGGAGGGAAAAGAGGAGAGGAAAGAGAAGGCAAAGTGTGTGAGAGAGAGGGGGGAGGGAAGGCAAGGAGGAGGGCCGTGCAGGGAAAACCGCGAAACAGCAAGTCTTTGGGTAAGTGAACTGCGAAGGAGCGAGGGAACACTGTATACCATTATTCTAGTGTGGTAAATTTTAATGTCAGCAATGTTTGGTTTTTTAAAAGTATGTCTTGAGCTTTGATCAGATATCTCTTGGTAACTATTTTGATTAGTATCTTGACAGTATTCATAATAATTTACTTAGTGTATGCATCTTCTATGTAAAGGGAGGAAAGTATTGGAGAGATCAGTGATGCATCCATAAAAATAACCATGGAGGAAAAATATTCCTTCTCTTCAATTGTAATTAGTTATCCAGTTTGCAGTACTGAAATTTACACACATTTCATAATTGCTTTTATGTTACTCCCTAAATATAAAGTATATCTTAAAGTTGATACTTGTGTACTGATATTCAGGGTTACAAACAGCTGTCCAAAAGAAGTGTGTTTTCCCAGACAGCCATGTTGATGTGATCCAGCCATTTAGGGTTCAAAGCTGATCCCACCAAATTCATTGTAATCTGATCATTAGTTATCATATGCAACTGTTTCCAGCTTTAATTGCTTTCTTTTGTTTTCCATTTTACAATTATGACTTTTAAAAAGTTAGTAAATCTTTGCAGGATAATCATAAATACTGTATACAATACAGTCTCTGCTCTATTAATATCTTCAGAAAAGAACAGAAAAGAAGTAAATGGCATATAAACTAGTATTACTAACCAGATGACATTTGAAGAAACTTAACAAAAGCAAATCTGCGGTGGGATGTTTTAGTGAAATGTAACCAAAAATCTGTTTACATGAGATTACAAAAAATTCATAGATTATTCAACAATTTAATATTAGTTTAGTATGCTCAGTCCCTCCATTGTGGCATTGAGGGCACAGTTAGAAAATTATGAGTCTAATAGTGTGTGAGATTGTTGGTCCACTTTGTTCAGTAATGTCTACTGCAGGTGGCAGTGACTGCAAAGCAGAAGGCTTTCCTCATTCTGAAATCCTTTCCTGAAGATGTTGAGAGATGAATCTGGGACATACTGCCTGCCAATCATGTGCTGGTCCAAAAAACCGGGCCCTTCCATGACCTCAAAATGTTCAAGGAATTACTTCTGATTCTAGAGTTCTATGTGATGATTATTAGTTACCATCATATTTAGTACTGAAAACAAATGCAGGGGAATGTGTATTTAATGCGTAACTTTCTTCTGTTAGGACCAAAGGCTCAGCTAATGCTAAGGTATCCGGATGGGAAGAGGGAACAAATATCATTGCCTGAACAAGCTAAGCTTCTGGTGAGTAAAAGTAATGAAAGATTCTAAGCAAAGGACAAATCCACAATTCCTTTAGGATTCCTGTCTTTCCAGGCACACTGTTTCAGATGTTTGTTTTTCATATGTACTTTTCATAGTCAAAATATAGTTTATTTTTTCATTTCATATATGACTGCACTTTTGGTTCATCACAGTCATTCCATTTTCTGTGGCAACAGCTAATGATGTATTCCTCAACCTGATACCCCTTTGATGTGTTGTGGTTTTGGCAGGAGCTTGTTGGAATTGGAATTGGAAGTTATCAGGTTGAGAGAAACTGATCTAATGACACCATCAGAAAATATTAGTTAAGTGTTTATATTTTTTGCTTTAAAAATGCCCTTTTCCAGACAAATTGAGCTGCATAGTATATTGCAAGATACATTTTTGAACTGGAGCTTTGAAAAAATATTCATAGCATAATTCCAGTGTCTTATTAATATGACAGTTATCGGATGGGTTGTCCTGGCCACATTTTGGAACTGCCATTTCTGAGCAGTACTTGTGGCCTTCTTGAAATCTTGATTATTCGAGTTTTGCTCTTCATTCCCTAGGTTTTAGTTGTCTAAAGGATTATGGTGACAATGATGAATTGTCTTAAAAGGTGTCATAATTGTAGCAGAAGTTGAAATTAGCTGTCCTTCTTGGGATGTGTTCTGGGGCACATGGTGTAGCTGCCTTTAGGATTTTGAGCAAAACTACCTGGCCTGTATCTAAATAGGAGAACAATATAGTTGTTGTATGTCTTTATGGCCATCTCATGTAGACCCCAAGGCAAAATTATCACAGGGTTTTCTTGCCTTAAGTTTGTTCAGGCTAGTGATGATTGCCCTTGCCTTCCTCTGAGGGTGAGAGAGCATGGTTTTTCCAGGGTCACCCATTGCGTTTCCATGGCTAAGCAGGGATTTAAGCCGTGGTCAACAGGGTCATGGTCAGCACTCAAACCACTACACCATGCTGGCTCTCAGAGATCAATTGGGAATATCAAGTACTCTGCTTTGAGTTTCTTGGTGGAAAAAGATATAAATGGTATCATATATTTTAATTAACCATTCATTGTCTATTATACATTTTTGATGTTTTTTTGTTTTCTTCTTTCCTACTTAAACAATACTACTTAAACAAAACAATACTAATAGAGTAGGAAGTGAAAGAGAACAGGCACTTTACATCATGTTTAGATCCTGATTCACATGGATCGTATACTTTTTACCACATATGATGTGTAGTTGAATAGGAATGGGTGAGGATATAAGTTATTTCAGCTGTTGAAATCAATAGAATGCTGTTAATATATAGCTTAGCTTCCTTTAGAAAATTTTGTGCTATTCTTTCAAAAGCTTGCTCAACTTTCTCTTTGAAGGAGTAAAAATGTTGCGATATGTGTTTTAACCCCACCCCCCAGGTTTTCTTAGTTTCTTTGCATGAGGTTGTAACAAATGAAGAAATTACATTCCTTTTGTTGATGTAACCCAGTGGTTCCCAACCTGTGGTCCGTGCTCCACCAGTGGTCTGCAAGAACGAAAATATGATCTGCAGCCTCACCATTACTATACCGTTGCATTGAGAGTGACTTGTCTCGTGAAACTTTCTTATAGTGTAGAGGCTTATTAAATATGGTTTTTTGTTGGTGAGCAGATGGCAACTACTGAATGGCATATGTTCTGTATCAGAAACTTGACCTGATGTGGTCTATCCAATGCAGTTTTCTGAATCAGCACCCCAAATAACCAAACCGAATCTAAAGTTGACCAAAAACTGATTAGTAACCCTTTTGGTACTAATGTTGGAGAGTGGTCCCTGGTGAAAAAAAGGTTTGGAACCACTGATGTAACCTTAACTGCTCAATGCATTTTCATCCATTTGCATTAAAAGTGTACACAGAGTGGTAATTCATGACTGACCCGGTGTTTCTCCCCTTTCTCCAAAGGCTCTTATCAAACATGTGCAGTCAAAAGGATATCCTAATGAACGTTTTGAACTCCTCACCAACTTTCCCCGAAGGAAACTTTCCCACCTGGACTATGATATCACATTACAAGAGGCTGGCCTTTGTCCTCAAGAAACTGTCTTTGTGCAAGAAAGGAATTAGTTCTCCCTGTGTCGTCTTTGCCTACAGTACTAACTCATCAAGTACACAGTTTGGCTCCATGAGATCACAGAGCTGAAATCAGACAGCCAGTTGCTGACTTCTCTCTTTCCCTACGTGTTCCATTAGCAAGCAGTCCACAGCAGGATAAGTTGGCTGGCTTTGATGATGGAGGAAGACACATGTACTTCAGTTGTTCAGGGCACACCTGCCTCAATTCATTATTGTTTCAAAATAAGAAGGGCTGTCTATATGTCCAGATGCAGGGGCAGTACACAGCCAAGACAAGAAATGCTTTCTCCTTTCCCTCTCACAACAGAAGTCTATTTTCGTTAATATATTTTATTTTTCACAGTATCATGTGACCAGACATTAACAGTTTTGTCAGGCAACCTGAGCATGGTATTGCTGAAAGGAGGAGTTTTTTCTTGTATCACTGACCTTTGTAGCATCTGGTTTTCAAGGGCGCTTGGCATTTGCCAAGAGGTACTGAAAACTGAATCTGACGTAGTGTGGGTGCATACTGCTGGATTGCTGTGAATAGGTGCCAGCACACAGGCTTTTTCAGACAAACAGCACATGCGTAATTAGTTATGTGGAGAACTCCTAACTCTTGCTTACATGTAAAGAAAATGAAAACAGCTGCAAATCCACTGCCTTATTGTCATTTGAGAATGATCACAAGCACAGTTCCAAGAAAGGGCACAGAAATGTTAGAACAGTTCATGTAGCCAGTAGTGCTGATGTAACTTGATTGAGAGTTGCAGAGCTCCCTTTTTCATGTTCAGAAGTAAAGCTTTGAGGCCGTGGAATGTGGCAAGATACCCATTATGAATCTAAAGCTGATTAAATCTTTTCTATCATAACAAAAGCTGTTTTTGTTGTGCCCGACAACTTTTGTGGAACTCTGTTGGTCTGTGGTGTATTTGTGTAGGTACCGTGCTTAAAGATGAAAGCACTCCTTGTGCTTTTTCATGGGTGATATAAAATCCCATAGAGATAATCAACTCACTCACAGCATAAGCAAAGCAAGATGTTTTGGGGCCCCAATCTCAGCTTGGGCAGCTAGAGTTTAGAAAAAAAGTTGTTTGTTGTTGTGTGTTCTATTTGGTCACAAAAGATATAGTTGAATGCCAGATGTGATTTATGAAGGAGTGATGTGGCCTGCTTGAGTCTGATAACAAATTATGTTTGGGGCTAAATCATGGTGGGATTATTATATCGTCATTACAAGCTTCTGATAATACAGTTCTTGAGGAATAACAGCTTGTATGGCATTATGAAATGGAAACATCCTTTTGGGAATAACAAATATGGATTCTTTTTTTTACATCTGAGAGATCATAATTTTTTGGAAAGTGTTAAAACAAATTGATATTATGTTAAAAATTGTATAGCTGGCAGTGTGTGAATTCACATGTAGTTTGCTAATGGAAACAGACTACTGTGTTGGATAAGACATCTAGTTTTTGATGTGACTATCAAGACCCTGCGACTCCTTTCTTGGAAACTGATGCTAGCAAATAATTTATCTAAAGATCATGGTAGAGACAATGCAGATCAACAGTGTCCGTTAAAACTAAACTAAGCTTGCAGCCTAATGAACGGGTTGTTAGTAGCAGAAATTCAACTTTTGGTTCTCTCCTTGACCCATTTTCCTATTATTTTTGCCCTTATCCTCAAACTTCTTTGTCCTTCGCCCACCTTTTATTTAGAATCTTGTTTCTTGATCCATTGTTTGCACCATGCTCTTTCTTCAGCTCTTTGTTTGGACCTTAAAGAGAAAGTAGGACTGTCTAGCATTATTTCTTGAAGTTATTTCCTTAGTTCTCAGCTCTGTAAAATTGCCTGAATTATGATTGCCTTTAATCTTCTGTATTGGTTTTGGCTTCAGCTGTCCTTAGCTGATATGGGAGGATAAAAAGACCATATTTTAAGTTGTCAGTTACTTTTGAGGAGATTTGCTGCTTTTATACTCATTGAATTGTGAATGAGAAAAAGTACTACATTTGTTAATAGTTCATGGAGAGCTGTCTTTTCATGAACAAGTACTTTGTGAGGAATAGTAACTGCAACATATATAATCCATGTTAGAGCATGGCACGTGTCAAAAAACATTTTCAGAGTCCTTGAGCTCTAGTAATGCCCCATATTTAACATTAATTTATTTTTACTTCAGCTTATTTATATATTCTTAGGGCAAGGCTGTTGATCCTTAATGCCCAGCACTGTTACATTCGTTTTAAATTCATTTCAGATGTTCTATACTGCCCTAGCAGTGTAGTTTCCAGGATAATTATGAAACTAAATATCAATAATAATATATTAAACAGCTGTAAGATATGTTTTTTTCCTAGAATTTGAATCCAAGAATTTTCTGGGAAGGGAATTTTAATAGACTACCACTAAGTTGACCATAAAAAGTTACATAAACACACAGAGATATAAACACACACACACACACACACACACATCGCTCAGAATTTAATTTAAAAATTAACAAAATGTTTTGTCATTTGCTGAAAACAAAAGTGAGTTGCATTTAAGGTGGCAGTTTAGAACATTTTATTGTCACCCTTTTTAAAGGGATAATGGTTTATTTTTATCTAGATTGAACCCACATGGTGTTAAGGTTTTCATCTATAGATCAAGAAATTTCCCCTTATAAAAATAAATCGTCCTTTGTTGGAAATGCTGATTGGTTTTAAGTCATACATATTCACGAGTGCATGCGTGTGTACGTAATATTATGAGCATCTCACACTGTTCTTTTACAGCTATTCAAGCAGAGAACCAGCAGAGTACTAATTTCCTTAGAATTCTTGTAACCAAAATTCTAAGTTGTCTTAAATAGGAACTTTGCTGAAGGTTTTTTTAAAGTCTTCTTCTCTTGAATGTTGTGGATTCTAATTTACCCCAGTGGCTCCCTATAGATATGGGAGCCCTGACATCTCTGCCCCAAACTGCATCTTTGGGGATGCTCCAGGCCGAGAGAGAGAGAGAGAGAATGAATGAATATTGCATGCATTAGTTATTCAACCATTTTATGGTGAACTATGGAAAGTAAGGGAGATCTGTGTGTCCAGGCTTGAATGAACCGAAGATCTACCACTAAATGAAACCATCACTGGATTAAAACTCCCTGCAAATCAGGATCTAGCAAAAGCTTCCTGCTAAAGGAAGGAGATGGAGCAGTGCATCCGTTTTTTTTGCCTGCCTCAATGCTTTTTTCCAGCGTGAGCGAACTCTATTAGGGCAGGTCTGGATCCATCCCACTTTCTCTGACAAATACTTTGCAATTTGGTTTGGGAAATTAGGAAAAGTATTCATTTCAAGCAGTAGTCATCATTTGACAACTTATTTCATATTCATATTCTTCCATGGTACACAAATGACTTGGATGGATTTTGAATAAGTAATACTTCTGAAGAGATAACAAAATTGACCAGAGAGGAGACAGGCAGCAAAGCTATTTTAGAAAGCTCTGCTATAACAAAATTGCCAAAAGACCATAGAAAACTCTGTGCTCATATGCATGAATAGACATGCATGTTCATACTCGTTTGCAGAAATAGACACGAGGGATTTTCTCTTGCTTGATTTTAGGGACAATTCAGTTGCCTTTGGAAATGGGTGATAGTTTTCTCTTCACTTTTTTCAATATGGCTGCTCTGGTGAATTAAATTAACGCCACTTATTTAAACCGCTTCTCTTCCCTCTTCTATTTTTATCCTATTCTTAGAATAGCTCGGGAGATTAATAGACAGTCAAGTGATACTGGAAGGCTCTGAGGTATGCAAGGAGTTGGGGGAATAGTGCCCCTAAGATCCCTGTAAAAAGTGCCTTGAGAGCAGAAAAGCCGCATATTCCCTTTAAATAAAGAATCTGACACTAAATCATGCATAATAGTCTATTTCACAAATGTTCCCTTTAAGCAATTAGTGTTCAAAAATAAATCTAGTCTCACATAATTTAAGTGATATTATCAATTAATGCCAGGTTTTGGATTGTCAGCAGACTTTAACCAGAACATCCCCCTCCTATAATAATTTCCCCAATGAACTATTTATCAAGATGCAGCTGCTGTAAGATTCTGTGCTGTAAATCTTGTGTGGATTCCAAATTCTTTTACTAGCTCTAATTTGGTTTTGCTGTTCAGACTTAAGGATTGGACTTCAAGACTAAGTAGAAAGCTTCTGCGTGTTTACCCCATCTCTGTTTCCAATGTACAAGCCATTCTTGACATTTGACTTTTTTAGGGGGTGTGCCTGGTGCAACACATTTGAACAAGAGCTAGTCATTTATTAGAGAGCATCTAACCATGTTGAAAATTGTAGAGATAACCTTAAAAACCCAGTTCTTCTGTAAGTGTCTGGCACAGCTGCAGGAATCATTAAAAGTCTAATTCCAGAAGAACTTCTAGGACTGAAAGTGGAAAAACATGAGCATGTGGGGATTGAGGTGTTACGTCACAATTTAAATTGAGAGGAATATATTTGGGATATTGTTATAATCTAGATTATGGTACTATGGGGGGCCTCGGGTTAACATTAAACATTGGGTTGTTGTCTTTAAAGCTTTATAGCTTACGCTGTATAAAACCGACCTGCTACATTTTCAGTAGAAGCCATTTTCCTCATAATAATTGTAATTCTAAGGTGGGTGGGGGAAGAGAAGATTTCAGCTTGCTGTGATGGGAAGGACCAAACTCAAGGCAACCTCTGATCTATGTATACAAGTGCTGCATTTTTATAAATACATGTAAATGCCCTTCCTACTGTAATATTTTGATCCTGGAAATAAAGCAAACCTTTTTACTAATTGCTGCCTTTTTGTATGTATAGAAACAAATATGATCTTGTATAACACACAAGGTGAAATGTGTGTAGATGGGATTACATTGATGAGGACCAAACCTCACCTATTGGCCAATTTATGGTAAAAGAAATGAGTGACATGATGTACAATATGTTTCTCTAAGTCAGCATTTCTCAACTTGGGGGTCGCCAGGGGTGTCAGAGGGTTGCCAAAGACCATCAGAAAACACAGTATTCATGGGGGTTCTGTGTGGGAAGTTTGGTCCAACTCTATCGTTGGTGGGGTTCGAATGCTCTTTGATTGTAGGTGAACTATAAATCCCAGCAACTGCAACTCCCAAATGTCAAGGTCTATTTTCCCCCAAACTCCACCAGTGTTCACATTTGGGCATATTAGGTATTTGTGCCAAGTTTGGTCCAGATCCATCATTGTTTGAGTCCACAAAGCTCTCTGGATGTAGGCTGAACTACAAATCCAAAACTCAAGGTCAGTGCCCAACAAACCCTTCCAAAATTTTCTGTTGGTCCTGGGACTTCTGTGTGTCAAGGTTGGTTCAATTCTATTGTTGGTGGGGTTCGAATGCTCTTTGATTGTAGGTTAACTATAAATGGCAGCAACTACAACTCCCAAATGACAAAATGAAGCCCAACCCCACCAGTATTCAAATTTGGGCATGTCTGGTATTTGTGCCAAACTTGGCCCAATGAATGAAAATACATACTCCATAACAGAAGCAAAATTACAGTTATGAAGTAGCAACAAAAATGATTTTATGGGCTGGGGGTCACTACAACATGTGTATTAAGGGGTCGCGGCATTAGGAAGGTTGAGAATCACTGCTCTAAGTCCTATAAGTGGCAGCAAGTGAATTTCAGCAGGAGTGTAGAAACAGTGAAGCATTATTGAAAATACAGCTTTGGTGGCAGCCACATGCATAGTTCACTATTGGCCCATGTTTTCATTGTGTTACAAAGTAGTTGTTAGTCCTTATATGAGTATAATTTTTGGAAGATGCTGTCTTTGTCTTCTTTTTTATCAACTTCTTGTCATGGACACATGATATCAGACTTGTTCCAATAGGATTGCATTAAGCCACTTCCCTTTAGATAGGTCTTTCTTGGCTATAAACATTAAAACAATATGTTTGTGGAATGTTTATGGACTGTAGCACTATCATTTTGGCATACTTAGGAAGTCAAATGTTGTGGGGGAAATTAGGGAGTACCAATTCAAATAATGTAAGAATGAGCAGAGTTTCCATGAAAAGCAAAAGACAAAATCCAAAACAGATGGAATCTCAACTCAGATGATTATGTCTCTACTGGGTTGGCCTTTCTATTAAACAGAATGAGGAATGCCTTAGTAGCAGCTGATAGACAAGAGGTGAAGAAAACTCAGCTTCCTGGTTATTACATTTTGTGGAAGATACGCTGTGTGAAACACATCACTCCTCCCTCTGCCCATTGGCCTACCTGGCTACCTTAGGAGCATGCTGTATATCAACAGCTCTGAAGTCAAGATTCAACTGCTAGTCCTATCAGCTAATGTAAATAGAAAGCAGGCCAGAACTTTCACCTCAGATGGTTAAGTATCTTGGTCCAGCCCTGTGTACTGTGAACTTTTATTTGGGCAGGATGAGTGAGTGCCTTCTTTTCTGTCTTGGGCACAACATATTGCACTTGTCTGATGTACTTGCTGTGGTGATACCAGTTGGGTGTGGAAGTTACTCTACATGACAAGAGCAGGGAAAACATGAAGGTCTTCAGTGCAACATGGATGAATTCATTCTGTAGAGCAGCAATGGAAATTATGAGGTCCTCCAGACATTAAACACAACAACTGCAGCGAGCATAAACATTGGTGATTAATACTGGGGACTGCAACTCAGCTACATTCAAATTTCCATCCGTTCTGCAGGGAGAGTAGAATAAAAGTCCTGTGCCACTGTTTGGCTCCTTGTCCAAATAAAACACCCTGATATAGTAAATCAGCTTTTAAGAAACATCACATACTTAGAATCATAGAATAATAGAGTTGGAAGAGACCACATGGGCCATCTAGTCTAATCCCCTGCCATGTAGGAAAAGCACAATCCATGTACCCCTGACAAGTGGCCATCCTGCCTCTGTTGAAAAGCATCCAAGGAAGGAGATTGTCCTTTTAATGGCTATCATGTCACCTCTCAACCTTCTCTTCTGCAGGCTAAACATACCCAGCTCTTTAAGCCACTCCTCATAGGGCATGGTCTCCAGACTTTTGACCATTTTAGCCATTTTCCTCTGGACACGTTCCACATTGTAAATTTCTATCTAGATTTGTAGTGTCCAGAATTGGACACAGTATTCCAGGTGAGGGCTGGCCAAATCAAAATAGAGGGGCATCATTACTTCCCTTCCCATTACTTCAGACTTATCTTGGAAAAATCTGGATATAAACTATATCAGGTTGAGAGCTTTATTAGAATAAAATTTGTACCTGTGTTATGAAACAAGGTCCCACCATTATGACTAAAATGGGTCTGAGAATGTTATGACTCAAACAGCACAATCTCAAAGTGGAGCCTATTGTGTTTTCCTTGTTTAGTTGTCCGGGTTCAAAAGTGAAAACTGCTTGTTCATATTTTTTCACAGTCCAGGAAGTTTATATTTTTTTCTAATTTGATTGTCATAGTTTCCATGACAAAGATGGGGAAAAACAAATGCTAATTCAAGAGAGGCACGATTATGGCTGCTGTGTGTACCATTCTTCTTATGCAACTCTTAAAAGATTTTCTCAACTGCTTAAAGTGAACAGTCCGGAAAAGAAGAACTAGTTTACAGTGACACTCTTACACTGACACTCTTTTCCAGGAGCAGAGAAGCTCAGTGAGAATATGGGGCATGTGATATAAATTGTAATTTGTAATATAGGAGTATTGAAAACTATCAGGTGGACACTAGCGGTTGGAAGTTGTTCTCTAATTGGTGTCCCAAGAAATTGGAAGTTAATTTGGTTGCATGCCACATGTTGTTTGTTGCTATTAAAATAAACTTAGAACCTCGAGAAGAACAATATTATTAGTACAGTAAATACCTTAAAATATTGAAAACAAATTATATTTTTTCTATGTGAAACTGGAAACTTTTTGAAAGCAGACCATGACTTAATAATTGGGAGAGTTGTAAAGTTTGGGGAAAGTGTTTCTCAGAGACAAATGCAGTGGCCACTGATTGGCTGTAAAGCATGGTTGCCACATTTATCTTTCACAAAACCGGACTCCGTCTAGATGACATCACCCCAGCAAGCATCATGGGAAATGGTGATACTGTTATCACATGATGAGTTGCCAGGTCAGAAGTATCCCAGGCTCAGAGCCCAAAAACTGAGACTAGATAATAATAATAATAATAATAATAATAATAATAATAATAATAACAACAACAACAACAACAACAACAACAACAACAGTTCTAAATGCTTGGGAAGTGTTTGACTTGTGATTTTGTGATACGAAATGTAGCATATATATCTTGTTTGCTGTGACATACTGTGTTTTTGTGTCAGTAAAATAATAATAATAATAATAATAATTATTATTATTATTATTATTATTATTTACCTGCCTCTCCTTGTGGCTCGATGCA